TTTTGCGAGGGAGCTCCAGCTGTGTTGCTTCACGTCCCGCCCATATTCAGGGTTCATATCAAGCAGCTGCTGCCCTCCTCTCAGACACAAACGCAATGGACCGATGATCTTGTGTTTCTGAAACTAACGTATCACTCTCACAAGTCGCAAGGATTCGACCGCAGTGACGGAGGCGCCACCAGCTCGTGGTAACCTGTCACAATGGGTATCGAATGTACGGCCCGCGAGACAGAACGAGAGGAAAAACGAAGAGCACGTCAGAGCATTAATCGCTAGACAAAGATTGGTGTCCCGACCACGCGCTCGATGTCCAATCCGACTTTCATTCTCATTGCCGAATAGAAGCTCTGCCCTCTTGACTGAAACGTCACCGACATTCAGGACGTCGGGTCTCTCGGCGCCCTGAAAGAATCGTAAACTTGTGAAGTTCTAATTGTGAGGCTGAGACACTTTCTAATAATCAAATAATGAAAAGATTTCCGAGGCCCCTGTGCCGTGCCTTTGTGTCTGGATTAGCTGGTAACGGAGAAATATCATTAGCCAGTCGACCGCTGGGAATTGTGGTGTGTGTGTGTGTGTGTGAGTGAATGTGTGTCTTCAGCTCTCAGCAGTTTGACGGAAGTGTTTTGATGTTCGCCATGACTCACATTTCCCTCAACAGATTGCTCTCCGGGGGTGGGGGGGGGGGGGACTCAAGAAAGAGTGAGAGAAAAAACGACTGTTGAAAGGGGAAGAGAGCGAGTGTGTGTTTGGTAAGAGAAAGCGCCAGCGAGCCACGGAGAGAGTGAAGAACCCGGCGAAAGGCTTTTGTCAGCCGGCCGGAGGAGGAGGAGGAGGAGGGGAGGAAAGAGGAAGGAAAAAGAGAAACTCCACCATGTCTACAGTGAAGAGGCCAAGAGGAAGGGTAAGTGAGCTGCTCTGAGAGCTGGGAGGGAGGAGGAGGAGGAGGAGGAGGGACGAGGGCGGTTAGAGGGGGGGGGGGGAGGAGGGGCCCGGCAGGGACTGAACAACCTCCTCTGCTACTGGCTCCTGCTGCACTGCCGCCATCTTGAACTCATTGCTGCTTTTATTTTTCTCCCCTCCGTGCTCATTTGCTTCACCGTGCTGGACTAGTATCAATGCACGCCGCGTTTACAGTGTCATCCCCCCTCCCCCCTCCCCCATTACACTTCCTACTCATTCCATACGCCTCGTTCCCACGCTTGTGTACAGTACGTGTAGCGCGTGTGTGTGTGTGTGTGTGTGTGTGTGTGTGTGTCGTCCGTGAGTTGAGCCTGTCACTCACTCGGAGAGAGCACACGCCACATGTGGAAACGAGGGGGTGAGAGTGACGGAACGCTGGCCGAGCCCAAACTGGGCTGTAAAGGTCCCCGTCGCTTGCAGGGGGACGGCGTGCTGCTGGGGGTTGAGGGGCTGAAATCACTGCAGTGCTGGCAGGCTGTAATTTAAAGTTATTTATAGATGTATTACACGGCTGCAGCGCTCGCAGTTTTTGGTGCATTTCTGTCTGTTCTCTCTCTCTCTCTCTCTCGCTGCCTCCCCGTCTCTCTGATTGAAGGCTGTTTTCCTTTCTTTCATGTGCCCTCATGTTCTTCCGCTCTCGAGCGTTACTTTCAACCCCTCCCCCCTCTTTTTTTTTTTTTTTTTTTAATAACATGAACTTGAATGAGAACATTCCAGCATGATCCAGTACATTTCCCCCTAATAGCCTCAGCAGCGTTGCACACGTGAGAATCATAATGCAGCCTGTGAGTGTGTGTGTGTGTGTGTGTGTGTGTGTGTGTCCCCTTCCTTCCAAATGAAACGGTAGTTATTCAACCCCGCCCCCCCCCCCCCCACACTTTGTTGGCGAGGTTCAAGCTATTTCTCTTTATTTAGCTCGCAGTGAGAGAGAAAAAAAAAAAAAGAAAAAGCGCGCCGCGCCCGGGCCATGTAGACATCTGCGCGTTTTTAGATTAGGTCGTCCATTTCTGGGTTTTCCTCTGCGTTGAGCTCAAGGCCCACCAGAAGACACTTGTGTGTGAGCATAACCGCAGTCACAGCATCTATTATGCACACGTTGTCATGCATGAGCCCCGGCTGGAGGACGCACGTCTGTGAGGCTCGCTGGACTCACTGATGTTTACCGGACCTCCTTTCAATGCCACGCGGTAAAAAACAATCCCACTGCTATCGGGGCGCCGTGAGTTTCCAAGTCGCACGTTTTCCCACTGATCTGAATGAATGCTTTGGAGTGGGGCGGGGGGGGCGGGGGGGCAGCAACAAGCTCTCCCCCTCCCGGACGGTTGTTTTTATTTCAAGGAGGAAGAGAGGTGCACCGCGTTCTGTAAGGTTTCCTTGTACGCCTCATTCGTTCATACACATCGGGCATAAATCACAACCTCATTGTTCTTCATTGTATCATTATCTGCAGTACGTTACAAAATACAAAGACGGTTCACTTCAAACAAATGAATGATTTGTGCTACTGGGCTGTATGAATTGAATTGACTTGTTTCCTCGTTCGGGAGAAATGCAGAATTATGTGGTTGAAGATTTGCGTCAAAAACTGCGTTTGGTATTTTTTGGTGAAGATCTAAATCTTGTTGCTCATCAGCTTTCTTGTTTAGTCAGCTTCACAGGTCAGTTGTCAACTTTCTATGTCTCTGTGCCACTTGTTTTTTCTGTAGCACATACGGTTCGGCAGCTGAGCTTGAGTTGTTTTCATCTAGAATAGATGACATCATGCCTGTAATGTTTGATAATGATTCTAAAACAATTTCCTGCTTCCACTTCTCCCTCTTTGCGCAGCCTCGAAAGAACACAAATGGTCCCGTCAGCCAAGTTCGGGTCCTCAGCCCCCCAGTGAAGAGCAGCTCGTCGTCGTCCTCCTCTTCCTCGTCGTCTTCGTCCTCATCCAGCTCCCCGTCGGAGAAAAGGACGCCGCGGAGGACGCATCATCAGATGGAGCTGGCTACACAGGACAAGCAGGAGAAGGCTAATCGGATAATATCAGAGGCCATAGCGAAGGCCCGGCAGCGCGGGGAAAAGAACATCCCCAGAGTCATGAGTCCGGAGAGCTTCCCCAGCTCTTCATCGCAGCACAAGCACCGCAAGCGCGAGCACAAGAAAGGAAACGGCAAGGCCCGGCCCAAAGAGAAGGCCTGTAGGAAGGCCTGCATCGTGCCCTCCGCCAAGCCCAACAGGAAGGCAAAGATTGGGTACGTAGTCGCTGAAATGCACCATCACTTGTTGTAGTTGTCAGTGGGGCATGGCAGAATATCCCTCTCCAACACGGCCAGAACCAGTGAATGAACGACGAGCTGTCGACAAAGCCTGACATACTGACGGGGAATTTATGCTGACATGTAATGCACTTTTTGTCACAAATCAATTAATGTATCAAAATATATTTTTAATTTAATAATATGCTAAATCCTAGAATTAACAAATGGAATTAATTATTAATCTGATAGGATCTGATAGATATATATATATATCAGATCCTTTTACCAAACGCAGACTGATTGTAACAAAGTCCCGGTAAGACCAGCTATTCAATGCTAACACGATGCTGTCACTGTAAGGGTGAAATACTAAAAGAAGAAAACTAAACCTGAGGGGACATTTGAGATTTTTGGTGGCATAAGATGTTGGTGTTGTGAAACGTTTAACTTGAGAAGGACACATTTGCTGCTGCTCGTTTTCATCCGGCGATCTCAAGGACGTCTCTCTCCGCGAGATCTATATAGGGCACCATAAATACAATCTGAACTTTCCTATAAATATAAAATCAATCTCTTTTTAGAGGACAAGTTGTAGTCTGTTGGGATTGAGCTGACGATCCAAGCATTTTTACTTTAGTAATGAAATCGTTGTTAAGCGCGTGGCTGTTCTAGACGCTGCATACGTTTCACTCTGTTTGGACCTCTCACCTTCGCCTGCCGCCTGCACCCTTATTGGCTGTTGACTCATTCTGCCTGCTGACGTACCGACTGGTTTTGCTGCTACGTGATTCTGTGAAATTTCTGCCCGCGGTTGCCAAGACGGAAGCTCAAAGTCCGACAAAATTTACAGCACGCCATAACAATAAACCCGGCTCCGTCACCAGCACAGACATGGGAGCAGCAAACAAAGGCCGCTCGAAGAAAGTACCGCTGATGTATAGATACCGCGATCTGCCTCCCATCCCCCTGTTTAACTGCCATAAGCCACACCCAGCATAATATATTGGAATATCAGCTGGTGCAGATGTGAGGGGGAGGGCGTGCAGCGGTGTACGGGGGGGGGCGCAGCAGGCTGAAGGAAAAGGAGGACTATTAGCAAGCTGTAATGTCAGATTGTGCCGCTGAAAGCGACTGACAATCGTCAACAGGGATATCTGGCTGACAGCGATGTCGATCAATGATTACATGAGCTGCAGTGGAGGGAGAAGAGCTGTTTCAGACAGTGGATGTTGCTTGGTGTGTGCGTGTGTGTGTGTGCGTGTGTGAGAAAGTTGTCTGTGCTGATGTTTTTGAAAAGACGGTGAGATGATTGAGGAAAAGTTGTGAGCGTTCCACCAACTTTTTAGCTCTGGTTGGCCGTACGTTTGGAGTGTCGCTGACAGTAACTCTGCCCTTCCGAGTTATTTCAACGGATTGTTGATCCGCCGGCGTAAACTGAGCATGCTCCGTTGTGATCATTAAATAAAGCTCTGTTTGATCATGCAAATGAACTTTGAGACGGGACGCTTCTGAAGTTGAGGTAGTAGCTTTGCTGTTGCACGCCCACCTCGCAGCCACGGAGACGAAGCGCAGCTTTTAATCTAACGCAAACTGCGGCCTGTCGTTCGAGATTGTCACCGAAAATGTCCTTGTGTTCCAAAGTAAGGAGTTGTGTAACCTGTTCTTATTCAGTGCACCCAGACTTGGCCGACGTGCAGAAAAAGGCATCAGATTAGGGAGCATGTAACGTAACCTGCTCATGGAGCCAAATATTGTCTCAACCTTTAAAATAACATTCATTGCGTCATGCATTTCAGCCATTTTGAAATGTCAAATTCCTCTTCTTATTTCTTGTTCTGCTCGATCGGTCCGATCAGACGACAGACTAGCTCCATAGCTTTGAGCTTTGTATCTCAATCTAAAGTTAAAGACACGGTCAGATGTCTTCTTCTCGTTGGTGTTTGTATTAATGCTACTACTGTGCTGCATTCTATTAACCTCTTTCAAACGTAATAAAATCTAAAGGGTTGAGTCTGATTGTGACCCCCCCCCCCGTTGTTTGTCCCGCTTTATGAGATCTGAATTTGGTGACGCTGTGACTTTGTATTCAGTGGTTTCATATGTGTGAGAATCCTTTCACAGTTCTTTTTTTAGGATGTGGCTGCTGCCCCGGCCTTTTTCAGTTGTAGCGCCTGTGTGCTTTTTCCCTTTTTTTATTGTTTTTAAGCGAGAAAAGTGATTCAGACGTATGGCTCGTGGTGCAAATGTGGAACTGACGTGTAATTCTGTCTGAGAAGAGGCTTGTGGGAGTGTGTGAATATTTTTGTCCCGGGGTATAAAGACGCATAGCTGGTGCGTACTCGTAGTAAAAGCTTTCCTGGGGAGCCGCACTGACGCAAGGAAGTTTGAAGACTCGTACAAAAACCATCCCGGTCAGTCTCAACCTAATGAACTACAAGCGTGCCTCCTTTTCTCCCTTTGTTTGAGCCACATAAATATACAGAGACGGGTGTTTGCTCATCTCTGCAGTTGAAAGGTCGTTTAGAGAGGCTGGTACTGGGAGGAGGGTCCCGGCCACATGCGCGCTCCACCCAGGATCTCCCCATGAACTATTAATGCTTCATGTCTGCAGAACCTGCTAGTCCCGTGTGTGTGTGTGTGTGTGTTTTTTGGTGTGGTTGGTGTTCAGTACGTGTGGTTTGTGTTCAGCGTGTGTGCTCGTATTAGAGCGTTGCCCTAATTGTACAGCTCTGCTTCTCTGAGGCCAGCGCCCTGTCGTCACTACAATCCTCGATTCCATTTAATCGCGAGTAACAGCCTTCCGTATTACTTTACTGGTTTACTCCACCAGCAGGTTTTGGGGGGAAGGGGGGGGGGGGGGGGGGTCACATCATCACATGGAAAACCAGTCTGCCTGATGAGAAAGCAGCTGAATAAAATATGGACTCACCAGCCGCTGTGGCAGGTGGACCAGCAACATGCCACGTATCCAAGAGAAGGAGGAGGGGGGGATTGAAGTGCTTTAATATCGAGAGGGGCTCCTGATCTGAGGGTGTTTGAGGGAATTACAACCACCCGAGAAATTGTCGGGAAACTAAATGGGATTCAGTTTTTGTTAACAACATTCTCTGTCTTTAATTCTTGGCTGGAACTTTGATAAAACGGTGCTGGATGGGGAAAAACCCTGGAGAATTACTATTCATCTGATAAAAAAAAAGTTTACTCATTTACGGTAAAAGTGTTTGTATTCTTTTCTACTTAAAATCAGTAATTGTAGATGGTGGCTCCTTTTTTATTTTGCATGTTAGGAATAAGGGTTTAGTGGGTCTTCCATGCACCAATTGACTGAATGGCCTCTTTAAGGTAAAGAGTCTCACATTCATCACTGCTCGTCTATCTTATCTATGTAATAAGGGATTTTTGGGAGGCTAACTAGGGGGATTCCCTGTATCTAATAATGCATGTGCTGAGAGGAGTGATCCATTTTTAGTTAGAGATATTGCTGTACATTTTTGTATTTTAGCATTTCAGCAACTTTCTTTATTTTCATTAAGCAAAGCCACTGATCTTCTAATGGGTACAAGCGGAACATGTGAGTATCGAGCCATTTCCAAAATCTACCCTTGGGTGAGGCGCGGGTTATCTAACAGGCCAGGGTTGACTGATCACAGCTCTGTCTGTGCTGGAATTTTTTTTTTCCTTCTAGGCAGCCTACCTGCTGGAAAATAAGCTCCCATAATCATCAGATGAAAGCACTTTGTGCCGCTCATTCCCTTCTTGCTTTCTCCCTCCTCCTCCTCCTTTACCTTTTTTTCCCTTTCTTTTTTTTCCTTATATAAATTTGCTCAAAGCCGTGCGCACTGTATTGCCTGTGAGCATGTTCCGAATATGCTGATACAACAAAGCAGCAGGATAGCAGGAAAATATCAAACAAAATGGTGCTCGTGAGATCAATTACATGATAGAAAATGGAGGTTTAAGTCTAGCGTATACGCAGCAGCGTATAGCCGTTCATATTTCACAGCCTGCCTGCAAGCCGTCTAATCTCTTTCCCCTCACTTTTTCATTAGGAAGCCCTAAAGCCTTTTTTTTTTAATTGAGTGATTTCCCGGTTTAATCCCTAGCAGGGTGCATACGTGTGCATGTTGGTGTGTGCCTGTGTGGGATGTAGAGACGCATTAGTGTGTTGTTAGTCTTCGAGTTAAACGTCATTAGTAAACACGCTCCGGTTGGTGTGTGTGTGTGTGTGTGTGTGTGTGTCTCTACGTGCATGTGGGTTGCACATTTGTTCTGATATTTGCAGATTAAAGCAGAAATCCCCCGTGTGTCCATGTGCACTGTGCTGATACAGTGTTTGTCTTTTGAGAGGCTTGCTGGTGCTGTTACTGCTGTTTCCAGTTGTGTGCTCTAACGCACTGAGATTATAGCCCTCCATTCATAAGAAGGGGGGATTTCCTGTTGAGGACCAGCACTACTGTCTCCCCTCATGATGAGAGAGAGACACACACACACACACACACACTTAACAGGAGTTTTAAAGAATCCCCTGTCAAACACCATCAGAATTTCCCCGGGAGACGCTCTCAAAGGCGAGGAAGGTCTCTTGAGATGTCGCCACATTGCAGTCCTGGTTCTGCATAGCACTCTCACTTCTTGGTTGTATTAAAATGAAATACACACACACACACACACACACTCCCAGTGGCGGCCTGCCAAGTAGGGCAGGACAACACTGGGGGGACGAGGCATGGAGGTTATTTGGCACATTAGGAGGATGGGAGCTAAGCAGGCCTCCAACAGAACTAGCCCATCACTCTGAGAGAGGAGCTAGCGGTAGCCTAGCATTAAGGATCACTCTGTGATGTCACACCGGGGGCAGCTGTAGTCTAATTACAGATGCAAGATTATGTCTGGAGGACGGCCTCTTTAAATCCTGGTGGGGAGGCAACAACTTTTTCTCCTCCATCAGTAAACACACATTAAGGGCAGCCGGCACCATCCAGGTGGAATTGCATGTTTGCAAAAGGAGGTGGTGTGAATAGTGACACGAGAGGTGGTGTCTAACGCTGCTGCGCCTTCTCAAGCAAACGCTCGGCTGGTGACAAATCCATTCCTCTTTGTGCTGCTGTTCTTTTGCAAGAGAGAAACATGTCGGTTTTCACAAAGCTCCCTGACAAACGTTTCTGTATTTCCTAACGTGTCTCGATGACCCAGAACCAGTTTTTAAGGCAGGCATGCAGAACCTGTTCAGCCCGTTGAAGACCAGGTTCAATCGTCTCCGCGCTGTTGAGCACGGCCGAGCGGGTCGAATGTCGAATGACCAGCGTGTGTTCTAACAACACTGCAAAAAAAACCCGAGGCCTTGTGAATGCGCTCCTCCACAATCGGCCTCGGGCGCGTGCTGTACCGCTACGGCAGAGCTGGTCGGAGGATGAGGTTCCATGTGTTCATTTGGTTGACCACCAGTTCTGCCTGAACTCCATGGTTTGGGCGGGTTTGCTCCTTTCACCGCGGAGCAGGATCGTGAGAGGAGACGCCTTCCGCAAATAAACTTCAAATAACTAAAACAAACTTCTTGAAATCTGACTGTAGCTCGTTTGAGTTCATTTTTCAGTGCGTCATGCAGGCAGCGTTCTGCAAGTTGCAGGAACTGCTGTGGAGCAAACTGAGGTTATCATGTCAACTTCTTCTTCTTCTTCTGCTTATCGAGTGTTTTCGCCTTCTAACCATCACGCAGCAATCCCTCTCTTATGGTTCAAGGTCAGCCGATAGGGTTCCTCTGCAATGTTCCCTGCCTGAGCGAAAGCTCTTTAGCTCCTCAGTGGTTCACATTGAGACTTGATCCCAAAGAACTAGAACAACTTAAACTGCTTCCAGGCCTCGTTTCCTTTGTAAGGGGTTAAGTCTTCCCTGTGATTTGAGAAAATATATTTCACCTTGTGGCGAAGCTGCCAAGGCAAAGGGAGGGTTCGCATTAGCATTGGTGCTAGTAAACTCCCGGGTGGTCCTGTGTATCAGCCACAGCGGAACTGGGCGGGCTGTAACCATCACGTGCGTGCGTGCGTGCGTGCGTGCGTGTGTGCGTGTGTGTGTGTGTGTGTGTGTGTGTGTAAAGGAATACACACTTTTCAGCATGTTTATCTCTTCCATGCTTTTGTTAGTGCTGCAACAATGAAACAAAACATTGTCAAATGTTAAAGAATATGCAGCTATGTTGATGATGAATTGATCCGTTTGAGTAATGGTTTAATGCAGCCTTAGCTTACATAGTGCACAGCATATTACAGTACTCATGAGCCACCCCACCATCAACGTGCTCGGTCTGTTCCCGCTCACTCCATGATTTCACAGCCCTCAAGAATCAAATTTCACACTCCAGGTTTTTCTATATGAGGATCGCAGAGATGCTTATCCCTGTTAGATGCTTTTAGCTGCTTAACTGCTGCCCGTTGGAGGGACACTGGTGTTCTGCTTCGCCCGTATCCCAGTCAGCATTCATTGGGTGGACAAAAGGCTTTTTTATTTTTTATTTTCTCCAATTCATCTAGGTTGCACAGCTGGTTCTCTTTGCCCATTTGTGTCACTCTGACTCTGCACATTTCCCAACCATTCGTAGTGTCAGTGGACATGTGCTGGTGTTGTTTTTCACAGGAAGTGACATCACCATTAACATTGCCGCCCACATTGCCAAATGTACTCCCAAGGGCATGTTGCATGGCAACCATAAAGTGTCACTGTCAAGAGGATTTATGAAATGTAATATCATCTAGAGGGGGCAGGGACGGCTGTTCAGCAGCGTTGCTGGAAGAAACTGTTTTCTACTTTCCACATACAAGAATAGGTGTGTGTTTGTGTGTGTGTGTCTCTGTTCTACTCGCACACTGATTGCATTATTTAGTACATAGGTCTGGCACGGCTACTGCAAACTTTAAACTGCCCTAAAGGTATGAGGGAGTGTGAAAGCTGTCGAGTGGAGTCTGTGATGGAGGTGAACCATGACGCCGCCGCTCGTAGCACAACCAGAACAGTGTATAAATACATCCGAATAAATCTAAATACATTGATTCGATAAAAAAAACAAAGACGGCCTTTCTTTTAAACGGTCGACTATCTAATAAACCGCCTTAACCTGCCGCCTCGCTGCTATCTGTCTGTCTAGTGGGTCCGCTCGGTGTCTGAAGCACTGACTTGCTGTCCAACAGAATTAATGTTTGCTGACAATAGAAGCTATTGGCAAGCGTGGGAATCTTTAGTTCACACTCGCTACGAGTCTGCTACGTGTGATCTCGTGTGAAGGAGCCCCAATGGGACGTCCTTCCCGCCGGAGACATACCTGCTCTTGCAACAGATTCTCACGTGTGGAGGACGGAGCGCGTGTGCCTGCGCAGTAAGGCCTTGCGGGTTTTTAATGTTTACGAAAATTCGTTGGAGAGAGTGGAGATTCTGTAGCGTGCCGGGATGATAGCAGCGTCGACAAGCCCCGGTTTTGGCGCCTGTGGCTTCCAAGAGATAATGTGGGGAGAGGCGCACGATAGGAAGTGTGTGCATGTGTGGTGAGAATGTGTGCGTAAAGGTTGCGGAAATGACATGCCACTTCGTGCGAATAAGAGTGTTGAGGATGAAGCACTGGCAAAAAAAAAAAAAAAAAGATGAAAGTTGAATCATTGTGTAATCTGCTTGCAATCTGAGCTCCTGATATTATCACATCGCAGCAGTCTGTGTTGGTACTACAATGGTGCAATTAGGCCATGGTGAGAATTTCAACACCCACAAACCAGCCATGGCAACTTAAAGGGAAACATATTGGCCCGATTCTGATCAAATAATTTTCTCGTGAGAACCTGCACAGGGTTGTGCAAGTGCAGCATATATTGTTTTTAACGCGCTGCTTATTAGTATGACCGCTGTCACTCATTTCCATTAAAGTCAGCCCCCTCACCAAGTAGGTAGAGGTATTTTTCATCATTGTCAGATTCATTTTACTATTCCTGTCTACAGTCTCATTACATTAGGAGGTCAAATGACGGTAGCGGGGAGACCTGCCAGGAGCGAGTTGCAGTAGTCCAAGCGGCAGATGACAGAGCCTGAATCAGTACCTGCGCTGCCTGCTGAGTGAGAAGGGGACGTGTTCTCCTGATGTTGTAGAGCGTGTATCTACAGGACCGTGTTGTCGCAGTGATGTTGGGAGTCAGGGAGAGTTGGCTGTCGAGTGTCACGCCGAGGTTCCCAGCAGTCAAAGTGGGCGTTAACACGGAGTTGCCAAAGTTAACCGTTGAGTCTCCATGTTAAGAGATTCTTAAACCTGGACTTGACGGCGGATTAAATACCGATGATGATCTCTGGTCACCTCTGGGCCATGAGAAAATAAAACGTTGCATTTGTCACTACCGTATGAATGTGGAACATTTTTATTGCACGAGTTTCATTCACTCCGCTGCCCTCTCGTCATTCATATTCATGGTCGGCCTCTCCTCCCCGCAGGAAAATAGTCATCAAGATAGGGAAGAGGAAGAAGCGAAAGCCGGAGTCTTCGGAGGATTCGGACGATGCCCCCCACCCTCGACACGCCGCTAAAGATGACGACTCCGTAAGATCCTGCATGTACACACACACACCCACACACTGACATATAAACCTACAATACAAGTCGTTGTTCTTCTAATTGGGGCGGTAATGCTTGGGAATAGCGTATCTCATCCCACTTAATCATATTAGAATATTAACCCTAAACCGTGAGACGGCGCTCTTCGGTGAGTTATACGCCCTCGCCTTATGAGACGGAAAACTTACGGGACGTTCTTGATCTTTTGTCTGTTGCCATTATGTAACAAGGCCGCGGGCGAAGTGAGGTTCCTCCGTGTGACTGACGTTGAGCCAACAGGGAGGCTTCTCAGATTTAGCTAAAGCCCTGTTGGACTGACTCTGTGGGTCATACAGTGCTATCGCAAGTACAAGTGCTTATCTGCGTTGATGACGAAGACATCAGCAACTCGGCGTTATTTAGGTCAATGCACCAACAATAGCAGTCTCCAGTTCTTCATTTAAAAGGAAATGGTTGCCACAGCAGCAAGAGAAATTAAAATCCTCCAGGGATTTCATGTTTGTTTGATTACATTAGTGTCATTAAGTGATCAGATATTTTTTTTAATTGATATCCAGATTCTATTTTTCACCAAACACAAGGTACCAGTGTGGAAAATTAGTCATTTCTTACCCGACATTGATGTTTTTCAAGATACAAGCAAGGTGCAATGGGGAAGGGAGGGGTCTGATACTTCTTCAGACCCGTTTAGAGTCATCGATTGACCCAAGGGGCGCGTCTTTGGGGGGGAGAAACCCCGCTGCTGTGGGCATGACATGCAAACTAAACACAGAAGGGCGGCCCTAGATGTATCTGTTTTTTTTCTTTTACCTTTTGGTTTCTGCAAAGTCCCAGTAGATATTTCCCACGACTGAATGATTGGGGATTAGAAGTGACTTTGCGGCCCTCCTCAGCTGCCTCCCCCCCCTTTCCCTTTTGCCTCCCATTCAGATTAATGCCTATAATATAGCTACGCTGGTTAAATGCTGCCCATTGCCTTGATGGATACGGTCCGTGAGGACTCAATTAGGGCGATCCTGTGAAGTCAGAGCACCGTGGCTGACGGCTGGAAACAAAAAAAGGAAGCATGGCCACCTCAGGGGTTCAGCATTACGCGACAGATTTGGCTGCGCAGCTTCTGGTCACCATCGGGTTTGGGGATCTGAGGGTGTATCTCCACGGAGATATTGTACTCCATACTTAATTAACTTTGGCTCGGTGGCATTTGTTCCTAATTAACTACATTATACCATCAGAAGGGGCTCATGTATTGGTGAAGGATACAGCAGCCCACACATATGATAATTATAAAGGCTTGACAGGAAGGAATAGAAATAAGCTGGATATGAAAGCACTCCTATGTGTTGGGGGAAGGTTTCAGCAAATATTTTTTAATAAATGTGGTAAATATATCAACAGAGCTACTTGTTGAATCAAAATGATGGATTGAACGATGTCTCAGACACCAAAAAACTTGAGTAAGCGTTGGATCAGCCTTTGATAATGAGCTTTATTGCTATAATATACGTGTAAAATAGAAATATCCATTTCCTAACTAGACCATTATGGTACACGTGGAGAATAATCCATTTAATGTTATAGAAGTAGGCAGTAAGCATCATTAGTTTAGATCAAACCTGCCCCCAAACTTTATTCTAATTTTGTTTCAGCAGTGATATTGATGTATGAATTGTAAATGTCCTCCTCACACTTTTCCCTTGGCTTTCCCAGAAGAGGCGATCCAATCGCCAGGTGAAGAGGAAGAAATACTCCGAAGAGCTGGAGGCCAGATTGTCGGATGACGAGGTCAAGGTTATCGTCAAAGCCAAGAAGACCAACGCTGCAGCGTCCAAGTCTGCTGTTCAACTCTTTGTAGTAAGTAGTTCTGCCTACAACTCCCACCATTCAAATGTGTCTGGGAATACATGAGTAATGTTGTGCAGAGATACTCATCACTTCCATCGCTGATGAATCGTCAATGTTATTTCTGGTATTTGTTGTGCTTACGAGGAATTCACGTTTGTCACAATGATGCAGACGAATGTGGTCAGTGTTGTGGCGCACAGCGTGCCGTTCTCACGTTGTGACTTTCGCACCGGGGCCGCTGCAAAACAATTCTACTTTTTTTATACTCTGCAGCAAACTATCACAAATATGCCAAAGTTTGACTTCCAACCATCGTTTCGTCTATTCAGATATGGAATAAAAACAAGGGGGTGTAGAGACCTCAGGAAGAGATCAACTGTGTACAGACTGTTTATCTCCGTTTTTTGTATCTATCGCACACTGAAGTTATGCAAATACTTTCTGTTCGAGGGAAATGGGGAGTCACACTTGTCGTTAAATGTTTGCTGTCCGCTGCATCCGCAGGAGAATCCCAGCGAAGAGGACGCTTCCGTTGTCGACAAAATCATGTCTTCTCGCATCATTAAGAACGAGGTGGGAATCTTCTGCCGCTACGATACCTGCTTTTACTTGATTGCTTTGTTTTTAATCAAAATTCAAAATGTACTTAATGAAATGGCATCAAACAGCTAATAATGATCTCAAAGATGAAATGGAAGTTGGTCTGTAATTATTATTATTTTTTTTTTTACAGGTTTCTCCAGGAGTGGTGGTCGAAGGGGAGGAGTTTTTTGTCAAATACAAAAACTAGTAAGTTCACTTGCAGTTTGTTTTGAATTACAAACGTTTGTTATGAATAATGATCTGAGCCGTGTATTCCGAAATAATACTTATCTATAACCCTCAAGTAGAAATCTAATGATCTGTCATCCACCAATACAGCATTCACTAGGTTTTCATCCAAATGATGAAAAGAATTTGACAGACTGTTGCACAAGCTGCACCAGATTTAATAGAGGAGAAGATTCTCTATGACCACATCTGCAGTCTGTGATCACACCTGCGGCCCTCGGCGGATTCACCAGATGCTTTTGAGAACGTGTTTTTCAGGGTTTCTCACCTTAGTCTGTGTGTGTGTGTGTGTGGCTATCAGCTCCTACCTACACTGCGAGTGGGCCACCGAGCAGCAGTTGGTGAAGGACAAGAGGATTCAGCAGAAGATCAAACGTTTCAAGTTGAAACAAGCGCAGAGGGCGCTCTTCTTCGCAGATGTGAGGCTGCGTTTTTTTCCCCGTGCACGTCTTGTGTAGTTTGCACCGTCTTTATTACGTGAACAAATATATTTTAGCGGTGTTTAATTTACTGTCTGTGTTTTGTCTACGTGGGCAGACACATCTGTGAGCAAATATTTGAATCTCTGCTCGCTCACAGTAGCAATAGTAGTCTCGAATTCCAGATGGCGAGTGGGCTTTTAGGTTCATTCTCTCCCTTTTTTTCCCCGCTCCTGTCTTTCTTTGTGTCCCTCTCAGATGGAGGAGGACCCCTTTAACCCGGACTATGTGGAGGTAGACAGAGTGCTGGAGGTGTCGTATTGTGAGGACAAAGACACAGGAGAGGTAAAGTATATTCCCTTGCTGTCCATGAGTGGCACGCGTGTGTTTTATCTGTGTCTACGTGGCCGCACCTGCTTTACTATGCCGTTTTTTTTTTTTTCTTTCATTATATTTTCCACTCCAGCGATGCCTTTGTATGTCAGAAGGGCCCGAGGCCATCCTGGCGGGCTTCCTCGCAGCCTTTGTTAATATTGTAAAAGCAGAGCTTGGCCTCGCTCTACTCTTTTGCAACGCTAAATTCTCCCCTGGCTTCTGCAGGAGGTGGTTTACTACCTGGTGAAGTGGTGCTCTTTGCCTTATGAGGACAGCACCTGGGAGCTGAGGGACGACGTCGAGCAGAGCAAGATCGAGGAGTTTGAGCAGCTGCAGGCAGTGAAGCCAGACTTGCGCAGGACGGTAAGCTCCGGCCACCGGCGTTCCTCAGTCATCACCGCGTTTCTTACTTACTAACCACCGCTGCGATGCTTCTTCTTTTTATTTTGTTGGTGGTATTTTGAAGTGGTAAGAAGATGAGTGCTGAAAACACTCACACAGAATGAGTACTTCACAAAACACCTGCTGCCAGTAACTTCCAACAGCAGTGAATGATGTTTCAGCTGTAAAATTAAAAATATCACATTTGTCTCAGAAGACATTCATGATTTAAGATTAGAGCTAAGACTCGAAGAGGAAAAACAATGTTTTTAGCTGTGAACAGTAGATTTCTAGTCTTGTGATTTGTAATGGACGAGCTCTGATTCAACAGTCCCTTCAGGATCGTTATTCTGGTTATATTTACTGTGGACTAGAAAAGGTCACACTGTTTACCAGTATTGATACAGATGCGTACCTCGCGGCCACGCACATACAGTGGAACCACCTGACCTTTAGGAAACATCAGCACTCGCTCTGTGGCTTCACCTCTCCCACTGACCCTCAGATTCCCCCTCGACTGCCGTTGCGATCATTGGACATCTAAATGGTAAATGTTGAATCGTTGGTTTTTTTTAAATGCTGATTTTGTACTCTTCATTCAAAACCTGTCACACAGGAGCGGCCCCCGGCCAATCTGTGGAAGAAGAGGGAACAGTCGAGGGAATACAGGAACGGCAACAGCCTCAGGGACTACCAGCTAGAAGGGGTCAACTGGCTCCTCTTCAACTGGTACAACAGGTCCGTTTCACGTACTTGCACACACCGACAGGCTGTTAGTGCTGCAAGGAATTTATTGGAATTAAAGGGAACAACTTTGCAGAGAGAAGGAAAACCATATTTCTGACGTAATTTGTCATCCATTTATTTATTGTGCAAATGTTGAATGACTCAAAGTGAACAACATATTTTTAAAATAGGTTTTACATTGTGGAATCAATGGACTTAATGCAACTACTCAATTAGTGCTCAATCAAGCTGTATCCGACATAGTTGTTAACAAGTTGTAAAAAGGCAAATTCACTTTTGGCAATTACCTGCTTCTGACTGGATGCTGAATAATCCCTCTCCTGTTTGTTGGCCATGGTGTGACTTGGCTGTATTCACATTCATTGGTCGGTCCTGGAAGGAGCGTCAGATTTCCTGCTGCAACAGCAGTTGCTTTTCTTTGCACACAACTGCAAAAGAAGTGCTGCACATTGCATCTGGAGTGTGAAGTGTGTGTGTGTGTGTGCCTGCATTAATCCTGGGAATTGGCTTCATGTGTGAGCATGCAGGACTGTATGCCTACGCAGAGAGATTCATCAGTAGAGAAGAGAGCTTCTTAAGAGGCCAGTGGGAATATATGCACGTTGCAATTAGCATCAAGACATAATACCCCCACCCACTGGACAGCTGAATAAATTGTTTTACACCACGCAGCAGAGGCAGTTGCATTTGCCATTATTTTGTTTCTTGTCTCTCCAGGTCTGTAATTAGTGCTGATGATGTCGTTTTCTCCTCCATTGTTTCTTTTTAGATTTTTAGTATCTTGGGATTTTTGAATTTTCCTTGTCTTCGCCACCTTCCTTTTTTACTTTTTTTTTTTTTTTTTTACCCCACTACATATTTATTTTGTTTTCTTTGGAAGATTTAAAGAAATGAAAACACTGGAGAAATAACATCTAATTCAGATTCATAGTCTGACTTAAAATAATCCCCACACATGCTGTAAGAAGTCCACACCGGTGAACATAATAGAGTTTTCACAAAGGTGTCCTTGGTTTGCAAAGGGTTCATAACCTTTTGTTACACTCTTTCCTCCGCTGTCCTCTTTTTCCTACTTTTTCTTTACCAACCCCTTGTTATTTCCACCTGTCAGACGGAACTGCATCCTGGCCGACGAGATGGGCCTCGGAAAGACCATCCAGTCCATCACATTCCTGGAGGAGATCCTTCGCGTGGGCATCAAAGGGCCATTCCTCATCATTGCCCCGCTCTCCACCATTGCCAACTGGGAGCGCGAGTTCCGTACTTGGACCTATGTCAACGTCATCGTCTACCACGGGAGCATGGTCAGCAGGCAGATGCTCCAACAGTACGAGATGTATTTCAGGGATGCACAGGTATATATGCTCGGATTCTTTTGCCTTTTTTTATTACTAGTATTAGTACAATTTTTTACTTTTTTTTTCTTTTTCTATATCATACCATTCTCATTCATTATATTAATTTCAAGTGGGTGTTTGAAAAAGATTGAAAATCTGAAGCCTTGCTCGAAGACCCTACAAAGGGCACTAATAAAAACATAAATCTCTGGTTAAATACCAACGTCTTGTACACATTACCTACATTTTAGATTTATAGCAGTAGTGCGAGCTATTGTTGTCTTAACAAAGGTGAATGCTTTCGGTCATCTAGTCTGTGTGTTTTGTCACCACAGTAATTGTTTTGGGCTGAGAGAAGCGATGAGGAGCAGGGCAGGAATCCGTTGGAGATACCAAGCCTGGCATTCAGCCGGCCCTCACATACCTGACACAATTGGAATTGTGAGGATTGAAGGGCTTTTTGGTTCATGCGGACATACCTGATGGTCCCCCTTTTCAAAAAACGGATGAGCAGAAAGCAGCCTCGCTGTGTTTACCTTCAGCCTGGAAAGCAGCAATTTACTTTGATTAAAATAATCGCTGTGCTGCTTTTTGGAGAACAGCAGCACTGTGTCATCAACATGAGGTCCTGGGAGTAATCGAATAATATGTTTGAAAACAAGATGCCTGCCCTGAATACAACGACAGGAGCTGTATATTAAAAAGCCAGGCAGAACGTGATTGCCATGTTCAACACGGATGCCTAGATGCACATAAAAAAGGAAAGGAAAGAGGAAAGCAGGCTGCAAGGAACGACAGTAAATGTCTTTTCCGTGTCATTGTTGATTCTCCCATTAGGTCGTGTCAAAATACTGCAAGTCTCCCATCCGTACACTTGAATAGCGGCAGAGATTTGACATCATTTTATGAAAGCCATAGAGTGAACGAGTGGTTCATGGTACTAACGCAGCATATAAGAGGATTCATAGAAGCGGGCACGTGCCCAACAGTAAGTGGGCTGCTGGGTAGTTAGTGAGCCTTGGGAAGAGGCTTTCTGTGGTTGGCAGGCCATGTGATGTGTCACAACAGGCAGTTAGAAGCTCTTAGTGTTCAGACGAGCCGTAGGAGGAATTAAGGCGAGCGAGAGCCGCCACCAGGCTGTCTCCGAGGCAGCACTGTGATGTCACAGCAGCCCCCGAGGGGGGCTCTCTGTCAGCGCTGCTCAGGCATATCAGAGCGAGAGAGAGGCTCCCGTACAGCAGTGTGCCGGCTGTGGGAGGGGGGTTATCGGATAACTCCGTCTCCCTCGAGGACTGTTGTCAAGGCGATGGGTACAAATGGAGAGGCGGGGTAAAGAAAAGCCTCCCCAGGCAGAAAAAAAGAATCGAATAAAGGGAGCGCGTAAACACTCGCTCGCAGGTGTCCACAACAGGAGAATGTGCAAAGCGCCAGCAGCTCCGTTTACCGAGAATCTGGCAGATTTTAAGATGCGTGGCTAACAAAGCTAAACTGCTAGACTACACACAGACAGCCTTTGTTTGAGCTTTGTTTTACACTGCAATGTGGTGGTGTTCTTATCACAGCTATGATGAGAATAGAATTCATTGCACTAATGTCCTTGTTATGTTGTTCATGGCTTCACAACCAAGAGGCGCGTCAAGGTTGCAAATTAGTAGCTTTCTGTTAGTTACATCCTCATTATATTGTCTCAGAAAACGGCTTTTTTTTAATGACTGCACACATTCCGCGGCAATGTAACTCGTAGCACAACGTCGGTGGAATATGTCTCCATGCGTCCTACGCACAGAAACAGAAAGGTCGTCCGTTTTGTTTTGTATACGCTGCATAAACCAACGGCGTGCCTAACATCCCCTCGCCTTCCTTGTCTTCAGGGCCGCGTGCTGCGCGGGGGCTACAAGTTCCAGGCCGTTATCACCACGTTCGAGATGATCCTGGGAGGCTGCCCCGAACTCAACGCCATCGAGTGGCGCTGCGTCATCATCGATGAGGCCCACCGCCTCAAGAACAAGAACTGCAAGCTGCTCGAGGGCTTCAAGCTCATGAACCTGGTACAAAAACCCACCAAGTTCCTTGTGCATTGTTGATTTAAGTGTTGAGGCTCTGCACACTCATTCGCGACAGTGTGTTGTTTCGGGGATCAAATGAGACTAAAACATTATGTTCCTGTGCGTGGTCCCGTCCAGGAGCACAAGGTCCTGCTGACGGGCACTCCTCTCCAGAACACCGTGGAGGAGCTCTTCAGCCTGCTCCACTTCCTGGAACCAGCACGCTTCCCCTCAGAAAACACCTTCATGCAGGAATTCGGAGACCTCAAAACCGAAGAGCAGGTGAGCCGGCCAATAAAATAAATGCTAGTGTTTATATGTCGGTCAGAAATCTCCATGTCGCACAATAATTTCAGAAAAAGGTTGTCAGAGCTTTTCGTGCCATTTTGGTGACCTGAAGGATGATGTATGTAAAAATTAAAAATACATGTTTAGTATTAAATATCTCCAGAGCTTCGCATTGTTTCTCAGATGCAGTATGAAGATCTTATTGGTACAGATGAGAGGGGCCTTTTCTATCTAGGCCACAGCAACATTTCGTAAAATACATGCACACACACACACGCGCAGCATATGGTCGATAACGATGACAGATAATGGGATATTATAACACTCATTGTTGGACTGTGTATCGACACTTGATCATACGAAAGGGGCGTTGTACCTTTCCGTTTACATGTTTCTGTTAGGCTTTTCGTTTCTAGTCCAAAGCACTGAATAGATGCATGAAAAGGGGCCGTTACAATGTGTTTTGAGGCGTGGTTCTCACGCTGAAGGTCAAAATATTCCTGAACACGCAGTACTCGTTGTCCCCACTGATGTTAGAAGAGGGGCCGAATGTGTAACACCAAAATAACACTAGTAGTAGTAAGAAAGCTGTGATGCTTCACAGTTGATGCTTCACATTATTTGTCTCCTTCCACTATGGTCATGAAACTTGCATGACGGAAAAATTGAATTTCAAAGAGTAATGTAAACGCTTAGTCTGATTTTATCTATTGCAATGAAATGCATATTGATTCGATCCAATAGATACTTAGCAATTTGTAAAAACTCCCTGAAGCATGCAAACATTTCCTGTAATGTGTACGACAATGCTGTTTCGGTTTGAGTCAGAACCAGCACAAAGACAGCATGTGCAACCCCATACGACCCCACAGTGTCGGAATATAACTACAATTATCTCCTCATCTCTCGGCCCACAGGTTCAGAAGCTTCAGGGTATCCTGAAGCCCATGATGCTGCGTCGCCTGAAGGAGGACGTGGAGAAGAAGTTGGCTCCTAAAGAGGAAACCATCATCGAGGTGGAGCTAACCAACATTCAAAAGAAATATTACCGTGCCATCCTCGAGAAGAACTTCACCTTCCTGGCTAAAGGAGCTGGCCAGGCAAATATGCCCAACCTGGTCAACACCATGATGGAGCTGAGAAAGTGCTGCAACCACCCCTACCTCATTAAAGGCAAGCTGCCGCCTTTCTAATGGTATTTTATTTAGCTGCCCGCTATGATTTCATACCTCGAGTCGGACATCAGACTCTGCATACGGGTAATGTTGCTTTAAGGCAGCCATGAAAACCTAAACAGATATTGCATATCCACTGAATCTTTCAAGTGTTGTGTTTTTTATATCATTTTGTTCCCTGCTTTGTGTTTCTTTTGTGTCTCTTTGTCACTGTATACTGTATAATATGATGACTAAAACGTTTAGACATAGAAAACGAGGGGGTTTCTTCTCCTGTACTTAAAGAGTGGACGTTGCACATTGCGGGAAATAATGATGTGGCAGAGAAAGCATTAAATACTCGCTGATGTAGCCATGTTTTTGGTTTTGCAGGAGCAGAGGAGAAGATCCTAGAGGACTTCAGGGAGGTGTATAGCCCAACCGCAATGGACTTTCACCTGCAAGCTATGGTGCAGTCAGCGGGGAAGCTGGTCCTCATTGACAAACTGCTGCCCAAGATGAAGGCTGGAGGGCACAGGGTGCTCATCTTCTCCCAGATGGTGCGCTGCCTCGACATCTTGGAAGACTACCTCATTCAGAGAAGGTAATGTTACGGAAGATAAGAATTTCTTGACTATATTAAACTTTGAATTTGCTGCTGCTGTTCCAACTTGTAAAGTCAGCCACACGTTATAAAGGACTCCTATCGCTGCAAATGATTAAACCCAGTATGTCCATGGTGGCGTGTCCCAGCATGAAATTGCCAGTGAGAGTAGTTGGCGGCAGAGGCATTAGAGACATGGAGCCCGGGGTTTCAACACATCAAATGAATCAACACAACACATCCATCTGTCTATTTCTGCATCCATTAATCCGGTCTGGGCCGAATGGTGCTGTAAGGTTTCATAGCACGCACGAGACAATAGGCAGTGTGCTTGCATGCAACATGCAAACACACGTTACCCACAGGAATGAGTGTGAGTAATAAAGTCTACAGTTCATATAACCTAACCTGTTTGTCAAGCCTGGAAATTGACTTGAGCAGTTGCTCCTATGGGGAGTTTTGGAATTAGTTTTTTTTTTCTCTTTAAAAAAATGTATGACTTGTATGTCTGTAATTAGAGTGAGTATTGCTATGAGAACTAGGGGGTTCTCACTTTGCTTCCGCCTCTGCGTGCTTCTTCTGTCTGTGTCAGCACCGTCACAAATAATTCTCAAAAGTCCCATAAAAAGCTGGAAAGGAGTGAGTAGTCAACATTTAGCAAGACTATAATGGCCAAAGGCTAACAACTATCCATGATCGCCTGAACCTGACGGCATGGTTCTCCATCGATGCTTTAGTTGCTCTCGTGTCTAACCCCCCCCCCTCCCTCCCTCCCTCCCTCCTTTCTCCCCACAAGCAGCTGCAGTAAAACGTCAGCATGTGGGGTGGTGCTCCGTACAGACCTCAGACAGGGTTCAGCAGCAGGTTACAGAAGCCCTTGGGGCTGCACTATATTTAGACAAGTAGGGTTTTCTGTGAGGTTTCTCCTGACTGGAAGTGGTTTGCCCTGGGGGAGTGGAAAGGGGGGGTCATGGGTCGGATTGTGGGGGGGGGATGAGGATGGGCCCAGGGATGAAAGCGGATATCACCGCTCCTTGGAGAAACCGTTTGATTTGATTTCATTTGGGATACAGTTTACGGGTGTAGAAGTGGAAGCAAAATGAAAGTGAGGCTTTGGGTGAATTTAGAACCAAGTCCACGAGTTCTGTGGTAAAAATCAGTTGATAGAATGTTAATTCACTAAATCAAACTAAAGGAAAACACAAACACGATTAACATTTTGATCATGTTCAGAATCAAAACACAGGTATTGCCAAGTAGTTAGTTAGTTTTATATACAAAGGATTTTCCTTGGTGTTGGGTGCATACAAGAAACCGTTTAAAGAAAACCAAGTACATGAGTACCTCGAGCATTCGTCACAAAATGATGCTTGCGGTTTTGTGAAGAATGTGCAAAACTATTGTCAGCGCATGTGCAAAAGTCCACACTGCAGATGTGCCGAATAAGTATTCAATCAGTTAAATAACGCACGCGCATCATGGGTCATGCTTTTGTGTTGCAGGTACTTGTACGAGCGGATAGACGGACGTGTTCGTGGGAACATGCGGCAGGCCGCTATCGACCGCTTCAGTAAGCCTGACTCGGAACGCTTCGTATTCCTACTGTGCACAAGAGCTGGCGGCCTGGGAATTAACCTCACCGCCGCAGACACCTGCATCATCTTCGACTCGGACTGGAACCCGCAGAACGACCTGCAGGTACGTCAAAAGAGGCTCTCTGAGCTGTAGGTGCAACGTGCTGCTGTTGAGTTGTCCCATCACCGTGCAGGCTTTAGAGAATTTGACAACACAATTTAAGAATACCAACAATTCTAATCGTCACTGAAAGTGCAAATTTAAGTTCATCATTTCACTTGTGTTTCTTCTGTTCTTCACAGGCCCAGGCGCGCTGCCATCGGATCGGTCAGAACAAAGCAGTGAAGGTGTACCGTCTGATCACCAGGAACTCCTACGAGCGAGAAATGTTTGATCGCGCCAGCCTCAAGCTGGGCCTGGACAAAGCCGTGTTGCAGAGCATGAGCGGCCGAGATAACAGCCTGGGTGGAGGCGCCGGGGGAGCCGTAAGTTTGAGAATTGTCCAAATGGTCTGGAATCAAAATGGTGAATTAAATAATTTAGTAATGTAACATTTTCTTCACTTAATTTGCTTGTTTTTATACACTGCGTGTGCTCAGTTCAAGTGTCTCGTCATCCATTTAATACCAAAATGAGCAGGAAAGCGCTTTAGTCATTCAGCCTTTGTACACATACTTATGTATCATTATCATTTATTTTGTCACCTATGTCATCTTCTTAATGTCCTCTACCATGCCCACTCAACTTATGTTTTATTAATTATTTGTACTCTCCACGGCGTAAGTCTCAAACATTAATATCACTTGAATGAAATTTGGGAGTGGGTGGGTGAGTTTCTTATTTTCACTAAGAAATGACTGTGACCATCATGTGAGCAAGAGAAATGAAGGACTAATTATTTCATTGTAGTCTATCATTTCAGTCAACTATTTCTGGTATCAGTCTTGAAAGATATCAGAGGAACACTGTAACTGATAACGCACAACAACCAGATGTCAGGCAAGGAAAATAGAGCTATTCTTGTATTTTAGTGAGTGTTACCAATCCTATTAGAGTCTAATCTCATTGTGAGGGAGTGAGTCAAAAGTGTTTTGAAGTGTGTAGGTGGATGTTTTACTGGTGTGTGTCTGAGAGAATTAGTAGAAGAAATTGAAGTTTGAGACCGCAGGTCCACACATCTGGTTTGATCGAATCTATTTGCATGAAAATCATCTGCATGGGATAAATACACGGCTGCTGATATTGAAATCATAAGAATGTTGTTTTGTTTCTATTTAAAAAGTATTGCGTAATACTACGTTCCGATCCGTCTCCATTTATTTATATTTGTCCTATATAGTTTCTCAACCCTGAAATGTCGATCTCGTTCTCCGTGCCTCAGGCACCTCCGCAGCAGCAGCTGTCCAAGAAGGAGATCGAGGACCTGTTGCGACGTGGTGCGTACGGGGCCATCATGGACGAGGAGGACGAAGGGGCCAAATTCTGTGAGGAGGACATCGATCAGATCCTGCAGCGCAGGACGAAGACCATCACCATCGAGTCTGAGGGACGAGGATCCACGTTTGCTAAGGTGAATGAAATGGACAACACGGCCTCGCCATGGAATTGAGGAAGGCTACATTTAACCTTTTACAGGTCAACCTGTGTTGTTGATTCATGAGCGAGAGCAGCTTTCGACACAAGAATATGTCAATATGATTATGAGATTATGTTCATGTCTGCCTTCAGGCCAGTTTTGTGGCGTCCGGAAACCGCACCGACATCTCGCTGGATGACCCCAACTTCTGGGACAAATGGGCCAAAAAGGCTGACATTGATACGGATGAGGCAAACGGCAGAGTATGTACTTCGCCACAAACAATAGAGCGGATAACTGGGACCTTTCTCACAAATATGTGTTGAATCTATCAAGCACATAATGGCTGGACGCCTGGTGGGGCTGCAGCCTTCCTTCATCTGTTGTACAGACCTTGAAAAGCCCTTTGCTGAATCTTTGCCGCCTACAGAACAGCTTGGTGATCGACACGCCTCGCGTCAGGAAGCAGACGAGGCCGTTCAGTGCCACCAAGGATGAGCTGGCAGAGCTTTCAGAGGGCAACAGCGACAGCGACGACACCAAACCCAAGCTCAGGCGGAACCACGACCGCACCAACAGCTATGGACGCACGGAGTGCTTCAGAGTAGAGAAGAACCTGCTTGTTTATGGGTAAGACCTTTTCAATAGTTCAAGCAGTTCACTGACACCATTGAACGTGTGTTCGTGTTTAAATGGAAGTCTGGGAGTGTGATGGATTTCTTTTTTTTTAACCAAAATCCCTAACCTAAATGTAACTAATGCCGGCTATAAAGACATCAACAACACTACTATCATTGTAAAGACACAGTAGTACAGCGTGCCGAGGGATTTTAGCCTGAGCCCACCTCTTTTAACTCTTTGTCTCTCTCGTTTCCCAGGTGGGGTCGTTGGAAGGATATTCTCAACCACGGGCGTTTTAAGAAACAGCTGACAGAGAGGGACGTGGAGTCCATTTGCAGAGCCCTGCTGTCTTACTGCCTCGTCCATTACCGTGGAGATGACAAAATCAAAAGCTTCATGTGGGACCTGATCGCCCCTACGGAGGACGGACGCACCAAGGAGCTGCAGAATCACCTGGGTGAGTCTCAGACTTTGTCTGGCCTCATCACCACGCACAGTGCGGGTGCGGAGATGTTGGACCGAGGCGAGATTTTGGAAGCTATTTCCCAACCCGTGTGACTGAACCACCTCCTTTTCCGATTTTTTCCAGGTTTGTCTGCTCCGGTCCCTCGCGGCAGAAAGGGCAAGAAGATGAAAATCCAGTCCAGCTCCTTTGACATCCACAAAGCCGAGTGGCTTAGAAAACACAACCCAGAGCACATGCTTCAGGACGACGGCTACAAAAAACACCTCAAACATCACTGCAACAAGTAGGTGTTCACTTACAGATAGCTGTCACTTCAGTACAATTCAGTTCTCGTCGTGACAAACTAAATCGCATTGTGGTCCGAAAGCTGAATTAGTAACAGCAGAAGATGGATATTCTTGACCATATACAATAGTGTCTCTAGTTGGAAGCATTTTATTTAATGTATTTAACTTAGCTCATGGTAACGAATGGTCTGCGGTTGCTTTATTTTGTGTCCTGTGGGTTGATGTGTGTGTGTGTTGTTGTGTCTGTCTGTAAACTTTCAAGCTGTTACAGCAACTGGCAGGTGGTCATTATTCTCCTCTAGGACAGATTTGATCAGATAATTTTTTTTAATATAATAAAGCCCTGGTGTTTAAAAACACAGTTTACACATGGCTAAAATTTTAACTGGGGCACCTCAAAGCCACAGTAATTAGGAGGCACTAAAATGTGTATCGGAGCTGACAGTCGACTGATTAATTAACAGATGAGCAGCTCATCGCGACCAGTTGACTGATACCATCTTTAATGAGACTTCATCCCCGCTAATGGCCGTCATAGATCTCTCTTATTTACAGACGGAGGGGAAAAGATGGCTCCTATCAAAACAGGGCCGCTGAGATATAAAGCCAAATAGATGGATGCTTGGTATTTAAAGGGGGGGGGGGGGCTTGTGTCTGCAGAGCTTTGCACGCCGAGCGCTGCAACTCCCATAGAAAGTTCTCCATTGTTTCCTTGTCCAGTTGTGCTGAATCCAGGGATTGTCTGATATGTGACAAGCCAGGCAAATGGGGACACGCAGTCAGCAGGGTTTGCTGACTTCAGCATTTTCCCTTGGAGGACGTGGTATGCGACTGGTGGGGGTTGGGGGCGTTCACTCCCTTCCTCAACAGGACCGTGTATGTAAGACTTTTGACACGGAAATGGAAGCTACAAGAAGTAGTCTAGATCCTCACAGTTGATTGACTGATTGAAGTGTGCTAGGTCAACGTCTGATCCCCCGTGGATCATCGCGTCGTCAATGTCTTGCTCCTCGAGCGGTTTGCGCCGGCTTTCTACTGAATGAATGCCATTAACTGGATACCGACGTAAAGACGTGAAACCGTGGAGATTAAATCTGCTTTGACGTGGAGGACACGGTTTTGAGAAGGCACATAAAAATGTCACGGTGTTTGTGTGTTTTCTGTGACTCCGTAATCTACCCGTTCCGCTGCTTTCCGATGGATTGTTTTCTATGAACATGACTATGAGGGATTCCTTTCATGCCACTCATGTCATGCATACTTGGCTTATTTGCTTCTGAAAGACTGTGTATGACCGTGCTGAGATCCTCTGCTGCGTCTCTGAGAGAACCACATCACACACAAACAAGCGCGCACACACACACACACACACACACACACACACACTCGGAGACGAATAAAGGCTTGGAAGGAGAGTGATGAAGGGGTGTGCTGACAGGCAGAGGAAGAAGAAGCAGCTGCTCCCGGGCGCATCCAGTCAAACAAGAGGATGGAGGGCAGAGGAGGAAGAGGGAGGAAGTTGAAGACTTTGATTTACCAGAGCTACAAGTCCAGAAGGGTCACCGCAGACATCCATCACTCCGGCAGACAGACCAGGCAGCCATGCTGCTTTTCCTTTTTTTCTATCGGTGCATAAGGGAGGGATTTGGGTCTCATTCATAACGATATTTAGCTGGATTACAGCCTAAAAAAATGGTGGAATGCCTGGCGTGCTGTATTTCAGAGAGGCATTCCACAGCTCTCCCTTTGCTCTCGGGGGGGAAAAAAGAGCAGCGCTTCGGGGAAGCTTCTGTATGAGAAGAGGCCAACGGTTCAGATGATGTGATAGGGATTTTTTTTTTTTTTGGAGTGGCGGCAAATAAATAGTAGTATCAAATGTTAATCATGAGACTTCCCATGTTCATATTTAGGTAATTCTCAGTGTTCTGACCCTAGCAGTCAGGCGACGGGTTTCTGGCTTAATGTGCCTGTTTAGATTTCTCCCAATCTTCCTGCTCATTTAGTAATGTCAGTGAAGAACACCGTATCCTCTGAGACGTAAACCGTTCTTTAAAGAGTAATTTCAGGGCGGCTAATAACACCTCATTGATATCAAGGCCCCACAGAGAACGCTTCCCTCATGCCAGAAATCCTCAAACCCTCCGTGCCACGTTTTTCCGCGGCCAGCTTTACCGGACGGGATATCAAATAACTTTGTGTTTGGACAAGAAAAAAAAAAAAACTCATTACAGAGAACGCTTTTTACACTGAGGTGAATCTCAAGGCATACTAGCCGTCGGAGCCTGGCACACCAGCGCACCACGGTTCCCACCACTTTGCTGCGTCTTCGCTCAAAGCCCGCCGGCTCCGATGTGTGATCATGCATCACAGAGCTAATGTCTCCCCTGTGAGTCAGTCTGCCTCTCGCTACCTTGTCAGCCTCGACTTCCCAGCCTTCATCTACTGCCAGAGCACGACCACATGACGACAGGAGAGAGACTGTTGTCTGTTCCTTCAGTCCTCGGGGGCTGGATGCGGAGTCGCCCATGACTCCCTACGTGGTCCCCAGACTACTGACGACCTCAGTGAAACCAGAAAAACGACATACGGAGATTCCCCGACTGTTGATGAGGCCTATTGTGCTCGGTGAAAGGCCTGTGCAGATAATTATTTATAGCTTTGAAATAAAAAAAACAGAACACATTCCAGTTGTATGTATTACACATAAGTTCAGTATTCAGTTCTGTATTCTGTTTGTTCGACATGACGAGGACTATTGGGGACTAAATTTTAGTATTATATTGTTGCACGTTTCGCTCATTTGCATTTGTGTTGAGCAGGTTGCTGCGCGTGCGTTGGTTCTGCTCGCTCAGCATTTGCGCGCGGCCGGGGCTTTGTTGTGACCAGTGGGTTTTCTCTGTGCAGGGTGCTGCTCCGGGTCAGAATGCTCTACTACCTGAAACAAGAGGTGATAGGAAGCCAGGCCCAGAGGGTGCTGGACGGCGTGGACTCCAGGTGAGCTGCACTTAGCTTACCGTACATTCACTTACTGCACATGTGGTTTCATCCTCTCCTTTGCCAGGGACTCGTTTGAAACCTGTTCACTCTATTTAACAAATGTAATTCAGTAGGTGTTACCCAACACTGCTCAGTGTGGGCTTTATAGTTCCAGACGGATTCATGGTCATTAGGATATGGTATCAACCTGTTGAAGGAAGAAACCACCCAACAGCTAAATGAATTAGACGGTTGCAGAGCTCCATCTGCTGGTGAAATGTGGGGAGTTTTTTTATTTTTACCGATTTAAAAAATGTCGAGGATCTAAATAAGAAATGGAATAAATATAGCTGTCAGAGGAACCAAGGGAATGTACGTTATTCCAATCTGTTGTTTCACAATAAAACCACTTTATGTCTCGGGCCTACTGGACAGTTAGTTCTGTTGAAGAGCAAATTAATACAGAGATTAAAAAGGTCAGTGAATTGATCTGATCAATAAACTTCACCCCCATGATATTGGTCTAAATGTCTCTGTCCTCTTTAGTGAGATAAAGATCTGGGTGCCAGATCCAGACCATTCGGAGCTGCCAGTCTTGTGGTGGGACGCCATATGTGACAAGTGTCTGCTGCTGGGTGTCTATAAGCATGGTGAGAAACTTCAGCCTCTGCTATGACTTTATTGTGTTTCCAAAAGGTCCTAATTACAAATGTTTTCTATTAATATACTATTGGAAGCATATTTGGTCCCTTTAGAGAAGAGGGAAATGTCAGTGCTTGTTATAAAAGTTATAAAGTTACTATAAAACAGGCAAATTGTTATAAATAAGGAAACAAATAGTTAGAATGTTGGGCTTCCCTGTCCGAATGTTTTCCTTTGATAGCATTTGATTTTGTAAAATCATGCAGCTTGTGCGTATTGCCTGGCAGCTATCTAAGAGTTTCCCAGTGCTAACTGGTCTGTATTTGCTTTCCGTCCTGCGCCCTCCAAGGTTATGAGAAGTACAACACAGTGCGTGCAGACCCGACGCTGTGCTTTCTAGATCGCGTGGGACGACCAGATGAGAAGGCCATCGCCGCCGAGCAGAGGGGCAACGATTTCATGGATGGGTCAGTACAAACTTCTGGTCGCGCACAAAAACAGGAAAAATTGTTTTTGTGCTTTGCTTCACTTAGCTTGGTTATTAATTGTAAAGCTTTATACGTGTGTGCAGGGATGTGGACGACCCAGAGTATAAGCCCGCTCCAGCTCTGCTGAAGGACGAAATGGAGGTGAGGCCAACACGGACCAACCAGTTGAAGGATCTATTCCCCGAGTACATTCGTGTCTGCTCATATGTGACTTATGATGATATTTATCACTGTCTAACAAGCTCTTTCTTCTTAATGCAGGATGATGCCTCTTCTCCTGGAGACTTGGTTGTCACGGACAACGCCGGAGGTGAGAATTAGATGCTTGTAATCCACAGTGGATTATCTTTACTGTGCTTATTTTAAATATCAGCTTCCCACTGCCGGCGGAAAGCTGAAAAGTTTTGCATTCAGAAGTTGGACATGGGAGAAAAATGTAACGCCGATTTTTTGAGTTTGAATGTTCTTTGTGCTGCGCATCTTTCTGATTCAGACGCAGTTCCAGTGACAGGAGGTGAGACGTCCTACTGGCCTTCCCCCTCGGTGCTGACCGCCCGGCTGAGGCGACTGATCACAGCCTCACAGCGCTACACCAAGAGCCGGCAGATCCTCCAGATCCACCAGATCCACCAGACTCAGACTCCGTCTCCGTCGACCATGATGCTGCCCGCTCCACTCTGTCCGCTGCCCCCCTCGCTCAACGACACCCTGAACCCCAAGATGGTCGCCAAGATTGAACGGCAACAAAGGTCAGAACGCAGAGATGATTAATGATTGTCTGGGAAATAAAACGCATCTGGGAGGTTTTGATTTCGTGGGAAAGAATATCAAAGATGAAACGCTAAAGCTCAAAGATGAAATTGTTTCTACCGAGTGCTTTTTCTCATCTTCCGCAGATGGACCAGGCGGGAGGAGGCTGACTTCTACCGCGTGGTCTCCACGTTTGGCGTAGTTTTCGACCCTAACCTTGCCCGGTTCGACTGGACCAAGTTCAGGGCCATGGCTCGGCTGCACAAAAAGACTGACGAGAGCCTGCAGAAATACCTGTGCGCTTTTACCGCCATGTGCCGAAGGGTGTGCCGCCTACCACCCAAAGAGGGAGGTCAGAAACCAACTTTCTTTATCTGTCAGTCGTTATCTGTCCACATTACACTACTCCACACTATGTGAGGCTGTGTGGAAACTCATCTCTGTCATATTTCGCTTAAAGCAGTCGCCACAAAGGAATTGACGAATGAAATGCAGAACACGGGTCGTGTGTCAGTCAACCAGTAGCTGGTTGGTAAATGAGGATGTATGCGTTATTGCCCAATGCCCTGCTGAGAGGTTACGGGTCATTGCAGTAAGACCAACACTTATTCATGGCTGTAAAATGGTCTGATTGGTTGAAGAGAGAGGTCAGTAGCACCTTGGTAAACAAGCTCGCTCAGCAGTTCTGAGGCAGGCAGGCTGATAAGGTTGATAATGATTTGCAGAAAGACAAACAGTGCGAGGGTTTTTTGGCAGTAGAGCATCTCCTCTCACTCACTCACTCGCCTTGTTCTTTGCTCCAGACTCTTCGGTGGATCCTTCTCTGACCATCCAGCCCATCACCGAGGAGCGAGCGTCTCGCACACTCTACAGAGTGGAGTTGCTCCGCCAGGTCAGGGAGCAGGTCCTTTGCCACCAGTTACTCTACGAGCGCCTGCCGCTGTGCCAGATGAGCTCGGACCTGCCCGTTTGGTGGGAGGCCGGCACCCACGACCGAGACCTGCTGATCGGAGCGGCCAAACACGGCGTCAGCCGCACAGACTATCACATTCTGAGGGACCCCGAGCTCAGCTTCATGGCTGCCCAACGCAACTACAGCCAGACAAAGGCTGCTCAGCAGCAGTCGCGCACCTCCACCCCGCTTGTACACCCTCAGGCCCCGGCGCCCAGCTCGGCGTCGACCGCCTCTCCGCTGCCCCCACCTGCCCAGAGAGAGGCGGAGCCCAGCGGCGTTGTGCCCAAGGTGGAACCGGCCTCGGAGGGGGAGGAGGGCAGGGAGAAGCAGGGGGAGAGCTGGAGCCCCCCTCCGGCACCAGCCACTCCCACGGGGCTGGAGGAGAAGCCGCTGACCGACGCGAGTGACAAAGAGAGGCAGATGGCGGCGGCCCGGACCAAGCCGCTCACGCCCAACTCCTCCGAGAGGAAACCCAAGAAGGCCAGCAAGAGGAGCCGCAGGAAGGCCAAGCGCGGCTCGGACTCCGACTCGCGGGGCTCCTCCTCAAGCTCCTCGTCGCGCTCCTCTTCCTCTTCATCGTCCTCCTCTTCTTCCTCGTCACATTCCGGGTCCAGCTCCTCCTCTTCATCGTCTTGCTCCTCTGGCTCTTCGTCGTCGTCATCATCCTCCTCGTCTTCTGACAGCGAAAGTGAGGGAGAGGAAGGGAAGAAGAAAGGTGAGTGCCTCAAACCCAAACTAAAGACATATTTCAATAATTTACTGACCATCTAAATGGTGTAAATAAAATATTCCATCTGTATAATTAACGACCACGCCTAAAATGAATGTGTCCGCCAGAAGTCTGCACACTTTTCCTCTTCCTCAGCGTGTTTCTAATGTCCGTCTCTGTGCCGCTCTCAGTGCCTGTAGCCACCCTGGTTAAGGGCTACGATGAGGACAGCGTGGCGTCTCTGAGCACCACGCAGGACGAAGCCCAAGACACCCATGCAGCCGAGAACGGGGTCACCAACAGCTCCTCGCATCCTTTCCGGGGGGGAGGATACATGCTTGCTGCATCCTACTGGCCAAAGGTGAACTGCTGCTCATTCGTTTTGAATCCAGCTACTGTGGCAGAGGCAGAGATGCATAGCGCCATGAAATCAGGTGTTTCACTAAAAGGGGAACATTAGTCATGAAAACAAGTCCATACTAAAACTTTAGACAAATGTGTGTTTAATAAGGAGACTTGAGCTGAATTCACAGAGGCTCCAGCGTGCTGATTGTCTGTGCTGTCCGTCTTAGGATCGCGTCATCATCAACCGCCTGGACAGCATCTGCCAGGTAGTGCTAAAGGGCAAGTGGCCCGGAACACGTCGGGTCTACGAGCCTGGAGGCGCAGTGGCCTCCTTCTACACCACCAAGCTGCTGGACAACGCCAACAGCCTGTGCGAGGACCCCTCTGCCTCACCACAGGGGTCAAAGGTGACCAAGCATGTTGCAGAAAACAAGGAGTTCTCAGTAAAACTCAACGATGTATGTTGATTTCTCCCTTCCTCCCCTCCTCCCTCTGCTTCGCCCTAATCGTAGGACCCTACCGCTCCCGCTGCCATGACCGGTGCTAGCTGCCGTGTTGAGCATGTTTCACGGGTTTTCTTTCTTCTTTCCTTTGGGTATGATTAGCGGCTTTGACTGCCTGGCAGGAGGAGAGATTAATGTAATGGCATCCTTCCTCTCTTTTCCCACACACTCTGGGCTCTGAGGCTGTGATTACATGAGCACAAATCACTGTCACGAGAATATAATACGGTTCAGTTTGAAGCCTCTCTAGACTGAAGGGGTCTTGCTTATAATTTGATTGAAATGGAGACCGTGGCTGTGGGTGTTCTCTAATATTCTTCAAGGCTATTAACATTGCGGGCTTCTGACTTGCTTCCATTCATATTCCTCGCTTTTGTGTTGCTTTCTGTGAAGGAGTATTTCCCCAAATGATTTGGTTTTTAGCCATCTCAGACCCATAGACACCTGCCGTTGGTTACCTATTAATCTTTATATGCTGAGAGCAGCGATCTCTTCGGCATGGCTTCCTACTGCAGTTCAAACTGTGGATAGACTTCACCCACTAGCCCCACTAGCCACTACCCTCTGTGTATCTGTTTCCCAAAACTACTCACCAGGAAATACATGGAAACAGTTTCTGTAACTGGAAGACATTCTTACACTTGAAAAGATGAATTATTTCACATATTAAAAATTAAAATATAGATATAAATAAGACTCCTTAAAACTCAGAGCAGGCGAGAGAAAACTCCCAAAACAAAAGACTATCAGTCTTCCGAGATGAATCCAGCACTGTGTTTGTCTGTGTGTACAGCAGGAAGGAAGTCTGAAGTTGACCTTCCAGAAACAAGGTCTACCTCTGAAGAGGCCCCTGGAGGTGGAGGAGGGACCCCAGGCCCAGCAGCAGTACCTGGCGCGGCTACATGAGCTGCAAAGCGCCTCGGACACGGGCCTGGCTGACATCACCAAGCCTCAGTGCAGCTTCCAGACGGGTGCGTTTATTTGAAATACGGCAATTCCCATAAGGCCTGTTTAAAGAGCGTGTGTTGACAGACATCTTGTCCATCCTGTATCACTTTGCTACCACTAGGTGGCAGCAAATTCTAGTTTCTCTGACTTGGAAAACCGCTTAGACACTCGGCATCTGCTTAAGCCCTATAGGCTTTGAGTACAAAATAGTGTTTGGTCCAAACTACATCATCTGCCTTTTTCCTGACTGTATCTGGAGATGAAAGGTGTCTTTTATATTTAAGGCAAATGCTTTTTAATGCTCCATCATGTTCCTTTTTAAATAGGTTAAACTTGACACGGTAGTTCACAGCTAACAAGGTGCTTCCTATGCAGCGCCTCCAGGTCTTACTGGTCAGATGAGGCTGAACGGAGTACCTGACGGTCAGCCAGCGGTGAAGAGGAGGAGGGGAAGGAGGAAGAACGTGGAGGGGATGGACCTGCTCTTCATGAATAGGAGTACAGTCCCTTCTGCTCCTGAACAGGTAAGCGGTTATCTCTGCAGCTTGTGTTCTACAGGTTCACAGTACCACAAAGCTTCACCAAATGATGGTGATGTATGATTGTAAAGTTTTGTTAAAATACATGAATAGTCATTGTATGCCCCCTTGTGCTGTATTTAAACACTGATTTGTGCTCAGGTGCCTCCGGGGTGGGGCGGTATTGGCCAGGTGGGCGCGGCCTCGGCTTCTGTGCCAGGCTTCAGCCAGAGCTCCACTCAGGCGCCTGCGGACACCGACAGCAGGGTCCCCGTCATCAACCTCAAAGATGGCACCAGGCTTGCCGGAGATGACGCTCCCAGGAGGAAAGACCTTGAGCAGTGGCTGACCGAGCACCCTGGCTTTGTGGCGGACACGGGAGCTTTCATCCCCGTGAGTTCTCTTTTTTCCAATAGCATGACAGGGTCTGTTTGGCATGGAAGTAAAGTTGCCCAACTTTTTTTGTTGGTCTAAAATAGTTCAGGATGTTAAAGGCCTTGTGATATTGTAGGATATGAAAACATTAAAACGTGTTCACAGAAGGTTGAAATTAATTAAATTTCATGGAATATATGTGATTGCTCAGTTTGACATTTCCCGCATTTGTGTCCAGGGTGTAAATAAGATGCAAATGCAGTTCCACTTCCAGGACGGGCGGCCCAAGCAGAAGAGGCACCGCTGCAGGAACCCAAACAAGATTGATGTGAACAGTCTGACCGGAGAGGAAAGGGTTCAGATCATCAACCGTAGAAACGCCCGCAAGGTGCGTTGTATGTGGTTGTTGTTGAGAGCGTACTGAAACAAACGTCATAAACACAACCCATGTCATTAATGGCCAATAATTACATGTTACATGACTTGCTATAGTGATATTTAGATCCATTTTGCCTAATGCCTTTTTAAACGAGGTAGTCTTTTGTAAAGAAAGTGATATTTGAGTGTTTGGTCAGGGCGCCCTTTCCCAAATGTAGAATGTGTGTCTGTTCGCTTTGGGTCATGTTGTCTGTTCTCTTGCTTGTAGGTTGGTGGAGCTTTTGCTCCTCCTCTGAAGGAACTGTGTCGGTTCCTTCAGGAGAACCCCGAGTATGGAGTCCCACCCGAATGGGCCGACGTGGTCAAACAGTCGGTGAGTCGAAGAGTAAAACGTTTGCAGCGGCATCAAAACTTTCACCAGAACCGTTGCATCAAGTAACGGCCGTTTGTTATTGACTCTTAGCCGTGAGTAATAGCAACAGCTGTTTCGGGGGGAGGGGATTTTGAAGTTGTGGGACTGTTGAACAGGTGTCGCTAACAACAAACCGCCAGTGAATATGTGTGTGTTTACCCCACAGCTTACGTGCGTTATCTCCCATGTTGTCTCCAGGGTTACCTTCCAGAGAGCATGTTTGACAGAATCCTGACGGGACCCATCGTTCCCGAGGAGGTGAGCCGGCGTGGGCGTCGACCTAAGAATCCTCTGGCCAAAGCGGGAATGGCTGCGGCGGCCGCTGCGGCCGCACCCAACCAGGCGGCCTCCGCCCTCGGCCTGAACCCGCTGCTGAGCAACGGCCTCCTCTCCGGAATGGACCTGAACAGCCTGCAGGCCTTCCAGCAAAACTTCCAGAGCTTGCAGTCCCTGCAGCTCACAGCGGGCCTGATGGGGCTGCCGTCCGACGCCAGCAACATGGCCGCCAGTAACTTGGCCGCCATGTTTCCCATGATGTTGTCTGGTATGGCTGGATTGCCAAACCTGCTCGGCATGAGTAGCTTGCTTGGGAAGCCGGCGCAGGAGGGCACGGGAAGCTTCGAGGAGAAGACCAAGGGAACCGCCAGCGGCGTACCGGTGGAGCCGTCTGCCTCTAAAGCCCCCGCTCACACCTCAGACACCAAAGGAGAAAGGACAGAGGGGTCGAACACGACTCCTTCCTCCACTTCCAGCTCCTCTTCCTCTACCGCCGCCCCACAAAGTGCTTCAGCTGCCTCCGCAGCCTCCAGTCAGCCACTGTCCCTTAACCCCTTGTTACTCTCCAGTATGCTTTACCCAGGGATGCTTCTCACTCCAGGCCTTAACCCTCCCGCGTCTGCAGCACGGCCGCAGAGCTCAAACAGTGACCCCGACCTCGCTCCTGCACGTCCTCCTCCGCCCGCATCCTCCCGGTCCTCGACGCAGGAGGTGGAGCGGCTAGCGGCAGAGAGGGGCGGGGAAGAAGACGACGAAGAAGAAGACGACGACGACGACGACGACAACGACGAAGAGGACTCGGTAGAACAAAAGGAGAACAGTGGTCCTGAGTGTTCGGGTAAAGCGGAGTCATCTTCATCAGAGTCCGGGGGCTCTTCTTCATCAGATGATTCAGACTCTAGTGATTAGGAGTGAACTCATGAATATATTATTATAAATTTATTTATGTATCGCCTAGAAATGTATACATATATTCACATATATATGGATTTTCCAGCACTTATGTTACGATTTCTTTACATGTAAATACAAGAACTAAACTAAAATGTTGTGTAATAAAGACTACAAAAACCTTACAAAAACAAGAAAAACTGACTAAAAAATAACTGAAACAAAATTTCAGTGTTTGTTCACAAGGTACAGTCTTGTTTTGAGACATTTTGCATGTCAGACTTTAGTAGATTTCTGAACTCTGTGAACCACGATTATGTACAATTGCAACAAAAACGGCATTATTGTAATTATGTCAGGATTTAATTTTATTAAAAAAGTGAAACTACATCAACGTGCTCGTTGAGCTGTACTATTAATATATATTTTGATTGTTGGGGGCCGGGGGAGGGACTCCTGCAGACGCTTTGGTTTCCCATGTAAATAGGCGGTACTTCGACAGGTGCGTTGACACTTATGCTTTGCAGATCATGCGTCGGATTTGTCAGCAATAACTTGAGGCAGCTAATGAATGTCACTGAAGCTGTAGATTCACGTTCCACGCCAGTGCACAAGTCACGCAGCCTCAATGACCGGTCACATCTCGTCCAGTTCCTTTCTGCATCAGTTCACATCGTCTTTGGAAGAGGAAATAACTCTAGCTTCCACTTTATTACCGCTTTGATTTAGTGTGAGTTCTTTTCAATTCTTCATTGGATCAAAGTTTTCTGCTGTTTTTTTTCTCTTTTATATATATAAATATAGCTTAAGTTGTTCACATTGATTTCTAATTTCAGAAACGGCTCATTTTCACCATAACCTTACAAACATGTCCCAACATGTCCAAGGCGCACTTTAGCTGTTCTCCGCCGGCGTACGCGTTCACCTGCTCAGCTGTTGATTTGGACTGCGTAGGAGGAAAACAACTCTTACTGTGTGCCAAAAACTGCCCTTTGACCCTTCGCCAAGTCCTGATTTAGTTTTGTGGTTTCCGTGTCGACGAGTAATTCAGGATTATCGATGAGGTGGATTTTACTTCTACAACGCTGGTATATTAAACTGCATCTTACCTCAAATGTTTTCGATGGATTGGCTTCATTGTTCCGATGTACCCGCGCATGGGGTGTGTGTTCCTGCTGTCCATGTACGTAACGTCCTCGTCTCCCCCCCATAGCCCCTCCCTCTGTCTCACCTGGTACCTCCTGCTTCCATAACATTCCAGTCTGAATGTTGTGTATTTAGGACTGGGGGGCTACTATTACTACCAAGTGTTGTAGACCTTCAAACAACATTCTGTCGCATGACCGCCTGTCGACCAAAGTCTTACACAACCTACATGGCACAAGCACACAATTGGTTGAAATCCCCCCCCCTTCGCCAAGATTGTAGTCATCGTTGTCGATTTGAGTATTATATTTTACACAGTGCCAGGCGGGTTTGCTTCAGAAAGGGCTAAAAAAAAAAAATGTAAAAAAAAACCAAACAAAATAGCAGCTTGTGTTGCTGGGAGTTTGCAGCGTGGTTGTTTGTGCGCGTTTTCTCTTTGTCTCGACTCTATTCTGCTGATGAATGGAGCTTCAGCTAGGTGTAGAAGTGCCCTTATCCTGTTCCTCACGCTCTTGTCCAGCCGCTGTCTTGACAGGCCGCTCGTCTCTCGTGTCGGCTGTAACCGGGATACACGTAAACACTGGAGTTCGCTCAAGCTGCAGTACCCTTTTGTTTGTTTCCAGCACAAACAGTGCTCGCTTCAGGACTGCTGTTCCACAGTGGACTGTTACACCCACGTTCTTCAGATGGCTGGTTTGGACCGGGTACGACTGATCCCCCCCCCCCCGCGCTGGATGAACGCGGCCCCTTTAGTCCAGTAGTGCTGTAGCATTGTTGTGAACACAAGGACTGAAGACTCATTTCAAATTTTGCTTTAAAGGGATTTCCTTGTAGGCCTGTTGTTTATATGTATATATATATCTATATAAATATACAGATGTATGTAGATATCTATATATATCACGTCATGGGTTTTGCTTGCAATTTCTTTTTTTTTAAATATCATTACTAACCGTACGAGTATTTTTCTATGTCTGAGCAATGAACGTATTCATGCCACTGTCATTTTGTATATCTGCTCCTGCGCTGACTTGTAACTCGTAGTGCCCTTATGCAAACACCCGGCCGTCGCTCCTCCTTCTGCTGTGGGTGTTTTTATCCAACAACTGTTGCTGCTTTTTGTTGCTGTGGAGCGATGGGCGGAGGGACTGATGACCCCGCTGAGCCGCTTTAGGACACAAGTGGAAGGGGGGGGGGGAGTAACTGGTAGACATACGGTCGGACTTTTAGGATTTCATTTTGCCCGTCTTTCCAGTTGGTTTCTAGGTTGCGCCGTACAAGGACTCCCAAAGCGCTGCGCGGTGCATTTCTGTTAAACACAAGTAAACCATGACCAATATGCAAGAGGAACGGCAAAACACACTACTGCTGCACGGGGGGGCTTTTTCCTTTGTGTTCATACATGTAATCACTGAGATGACAAAACTGGCATCGTTGGATCTGTATTTTGATTTAAGCTTGATAATACCTTAATATCCTGGTCAGTTGTGTTTTTTGTTTTTGTTTTTTTTCATTGGACAGTTGTAATATTTGAAGTTGTGGTCTGTGAAGTCAAAATAATTCTTCATGTAGTGCAGGAAAATGCGTCTTAAAATTCATTTGTAATTTATTGGATTACTTTCTATGAAGTTCTATAGAGGAGATTTGAGGTTTAATTATTTTTATTAAACATATTCTTCTGACTATCAATTGGGTTTGCCTTTGCCTGTTGCGTTGTCTGGGGCCTTACTCAACAAATCATCAGTGTCGGGGACTTCGCACTTGTGCTTTTCACACATTATTACCGAGTTTTGCTTCCATTTGCTTTTCCACACTGCTACCCGGAGCAGATTAGGTGGAGGCGTTCAGAAAAACACCATTTCTCGTCAGCCTGGATGAAAGCACTTGTTAATTTTTCCACGCATAGAATTCACCAGTGACAAAAAATCCAACTGAACTTGCTTACGTCGAGGTAGTTCAACCCTAATGTATTTCTTTCCTTCCTTTTTTAAAGTTTAAATCCTCTTTGTAGGCAAAGTGCTACTGTTCCAAATCAGAAAAGACAATATGAATATTGGCAAAAATGAGCACTATGAGTTATCTCTGTGTATATAATATAATATAACTAAATCCGGTTAGTGTTTGATGCTCTGCGCGTCACATTTGGTGAACAAATGTTTTCCAAATTCTCTTAACCAACTCCACGTGCTTTCGTTACATCATCTCTGCTGCAGCAAAGTGTTGCCCGGTCATCCTCCCCGCTGTGAGTCCTTCTGGCCTCCTCTTGGTGGCGCTCAGCGGCCTGAATCAGTCTCTCCTACAACTGTTCATTGCTTATCTCAGCAACCAGACCCCAGTGACGAGTCAGGGCTTGTCTGAAGGAGACCAATGATCTCAACTTCCTCAAACCTCCAAAGAGCAGCAGGTTGTCTGCTCTGAACCATGCTGCACCACTCCTCTGCCAGCAGCCCGACGCAGGAGACATAAAGGGGATTTCTAGATGAGGAGGCCCTCAAACTGGCAACTTCAACCGGAACAAATTACAGCCGAAACCGGTGAGTTTGTGACTCTTTTTATGGCTCTAGTCTTGTCCAAAGTTCACCTAAGTTGTCATGGCTGGCACGTGGCATGGAAACTCTGCTGACAAGTAATATGTAACTCACCATTCCCTTCTGTGAGTAAATACGACACCACGGACTGACGCACTGCACTAAGTGACCACTTTAAATATAATACGCACTGCAGGCAGGATATAATGCACCAAGAGTAAGGTCGTTGAGTAAGGTTTGTCTAGAGTTTTATTTGAATGTGTAACATGTGTCTGAAGTGAAAGTAAGGCCTGTCCCGATCTAGTGATCAAAACAGGAAATGGGTGTAACCCATAAAACAAGGCTACAGATTGTGCATTCCTCAGAGCGTGAATTAATTTCTAATTTATTACAACAACAAAAAAACACGAGTTGTAGATTTGTTCTCGACATGAAAGGTAAAGCCAGTTTTATTTCCTTTATAATACAAGTGGTTCTACGTATTATAACAATCGTTGCAATAAAAACAGAATACTACATTAAACTGCTCACAATAAGGTCTGTGGATTATGTTGAGATTGTGATTTCTTGAAATTCAAGTGTATTTTGTAGGCCCTTTACCCAGACCGATCTACAGCCAATATCTCTGAAACTAGGCCCCTCACAGCCAAATGGTGTAGCTGAGCTAAATGCCGACAAAAGCTCTGTGTGAGTGAAAAAATGTTCTGTGTTTGAGTTTAGTTTTATCCCAAATATGTCTTTAATAATCAGGAGAGAGGCTACGAGAGGCTGCAACATTGTACAGTTGTGCGTATCTACATGTATGTGTAGGCCTTCCACTGCTGTTGTGCTTGCTCTCTTGCTTCAGATGTCCGGCCTTAAATTGGCAGCTTTTTAAATCAAACCCAAAACGTGACAGAGACGCATTATTTGACTGCTCCAGAATTCAGTATTTAAAGGGAGGTAGTGTCGATATTTACAGAAAACTGCATTCCTTTTTGTGACGAATATCCTATCATAAAAAATACTTCAACTTTGAGGCAATGACAGAAATAATTGTAGCGTGTGCTGTAAATCAAAACTGCACTAAATCTAATTAAACGGATGAACACGCTAACATTATCACACATCAAGGGAAACGAACAAGCATCGTTATTGACACATATTGGCTAATTCTCAGCTTCACTATTGATGTTCAATCTGTTTCTTAAAATATACAGTTATACACAGTGTTGTGCTTATTAACAGCTGTTTCCTTTCCTCCTGATGCTGCTTGACTCTTTTCATAAGTGCATAAGGGTGTAGCATAAGTGTACTTTAACATCATGCTCATTCTATATCTTTCATTTTGGCCAATTTGGGTGAATTTGTTGCTGAGTCATTAGCATGAGTTAGCTTTTAGCTATCTGTTGACAGGCAGTGGTTAGTTTGTGTAGCTCCTGTCTCTCCCTTTACAGGTTCATGCCTATAGAGTTACAGACGCAATACATATTTTGCAAAAAAAAAAAAAAAAAAAAAAGAGTTCAAACTTGTATAAGCGTGTCGCGTGAAGTGTGACAGCGATCCTCCGTTGAAATAGCGTGTTGGTTAAAACGAAGAACAGCAGCAGCAAAAGACATAAACCGAGGTCAGTCTGAGTCAGTGAGGAGTCGCCCAGAATAATAAACAGTATATGTGGGAGTGATAGAGGATGGTAATAAAATAGGTTTGTTAGAAGGGGGCCTTTTAGGAGAGGAGGGAGTTGTAATCAATTTAAAGGTAAAGCAAAAGGCCTAAAACAAGTCAAAGCGAAGCGGTGGTGTAAGATCTGGTACTGTTCATCATACAGCTCTGGACAACAGTTTCCTAAAGTGGATGCTGTGAACGAGAACATCATTTTTGCACACCTAACATCTCTCTAATTGATACAATACTATTTAAATGTGTCACAACCTGGCTCAAGGGCCATGACAAAAGAGGGAACGAGGCAGCGTAACGGATCAAAAGTCATTTGTTTTACACAGGAATCAACTAAACATATATTTTGTAACGGATAACTTAAATAAATCAAGCAGGGTAATCAGGCCATGGTTGACTTCTGGATTGCGGTGAAGAGCCAGCCGGTGTAGTCTACGGTGGCCCCAAAGTGCAAAACATAACGACAAATAGGAAAACACAACGACATTAACTTCTTACGCAAAGGGTAGGTCCTTATGGCAGGAAGCAGAGGACGGACCCTTCTGATTGGACAGTTGGACTGTCTGTCTTTTAACTGGAAATGATACAGGGCGCTCAAGTGTCACGCACACCGGCCACACATACAATTCCTCACGCCAAGGAATCGAACTCCGGTCCCCGAGCCGTGTCGGCCACAGCGCCCCGCTGTAGCCCCCCCGCGTCCGCGCGTCCATCGGCCGTAGCGCCCCCCCCCCCCTATTTGTCGTTGTGTTTTGCACTTCAGGGCCACCGTAGTAGTCCGATCAGGTGGGGCTTTATCACCCTTGGCTCACCGCTCCCAGGTGCCCCAGATCAACTAAGAACAAAGATGTTACGACCCGAGAGAGGTATCACTCCCACAGAGTGGCCTCAATGAACCACACAGAGGCCGTCACAAATAATACAATACTAATTAATTCGTACACAAATAGAAATGTAAAAAACCCCACGTTTGTTCATGAAGTGGTTGACCGACCTTTGGTCCGGTAGATCAGTTACTCAATGTAATCTGATGTCTGTTTTTACTGTTCTCGATAAGATGCCAATTCCTGCTGTGACTCTTACCCGGCGTATGTGCGGATGTCACCATGGCAACCGGGCTTCAGGGTGAACACGGATGGCCGAGGTTTGGCTCCAGGGACCGCCTGATTGCTATGTTCAGGTTAGCACTACAGTTCCATAGTATCACTCATGCAGTCTAACTGCTCCATTTATAATGTTATTTTTATGTCGGTATATTATTTATCAAAGCAAAAACTATTGTTTGAGCTGATTAAGTTACATTACAAAATAAAAACACTTAAATAATTCACCAGTGGGAAAGAGGGAAAGCTGTCTTTGTAATAGTGCTGCAATATGACCCCACATATCTCTTGCATGCAGGTTATCTTTTGACAATTATGAACATAAAAACAGTTAATATCTGTATTTTACACGTTGTGTTTTTTTTTACCAAAAAACCACCTAACATTCATCTAACCACTACGTTACTATACTATCTGATTTAGTTCCTGCTCCAGAGATCCAACCAAGGCGATCGAAAAAAGACTGAGAGACTTGCTGCACACGTTTCTGCAACACTTCAGGGACAATGCCGGAAATGAGAACCGCAACGGTACACTAACACACTTAAGAATCCTAAAATAATGGGTGAGGGGATGTGATAGTAACTGTAAGGTTGGGTATGATGCAAGATGAAGGCTTTTATTTTCCATAGCTTCAATTATTCTGAAGGGCAGAAGATCACAGCCTCCACAGTGTTGCTGGTTTACGGCGTAGGATTTTAGAGTAACGGCAGCAGTGCCCAGTCGGAAACAAAGCATACACTTAAATATTATTTCTGTCAGAAGCAATATCTCCTTCAGCACAGCAGGGATCCACTATCAGCTCACCCACAGTATTTTAAATCTCCACGTGATGAGAGTGCCGCCTGTGTTTAAATGCCAGCTATCACATTTTGGATTTAAGCTTCTGTTGTTGATACATTGCTGTTGTCCACAGATTTGGCAGAAACGTGCTGTTGTGAAGCCGGGGTCTGGTATTACAGGATCCTGGAGAACGTCATTAGCCAAGAGAGGAACAGGAACAGAATCGGTGACATCACGGTGAGTCTACTGCCACTACTGCCCCCCCGTGGCCGCTGTTGTCTGGAGAGCAGCGCTTCAGTGCTCACACATGAACAGTCACAGAAGGGGTTTTTGCTACACGTTATTTTCCTTCCGTTTTTAACGTGAAAAAGCTTGTGCTTGTGTTTTGTAGCAGGTCATCTGCCAGAACGAGCATCTCCAGTGCTGTCTGGCGGCCTGTTGTCTGGAGATTACCACATCCTCAAACTGCCTGCCGTGTGACTTCCCTCTGCTCCTTCAGATACTGAAACTGACACCATACGACTTCCTGATGGTGTGTTTTTATAGATATTCAATGCAGAATGAACGTGCTCGATCCTTTCCAGGATTTGGTAAATAGCGGCCGTCGTGGGTTGCAAGAAGCATTCGTTGCAACTGCAAGCTTTACTTTGCGGTGCATATAGAATGTTTGAAAGTATCATCTCCTCCGTTTGGTTTCCCCAATCTGACAGACGATTGAGGTGGTCTTGCGGGCTGAGCCGGACCTGCCTGGTGCTGCGTTCAGACACCTCGCTCAGGTGGAAGAGAAAATTCTGGAGTGCTCGGCCTGGACCAGCGACTCACCACTGTGGGGAAAAATCCAAGCAAACGAGAGCGCTCTGCCTGCCTGCCAACAGGTTGGAAATAACACACTTTGACAAAAAGCTTCACCTGGCTCCTGGAGTTTAATCTGGGGTTTAATCCGAGTGGTTCTTCCAAGGTGGTGCTGGCAACAATGTCTGAGTAGAATGAAATTAGAGATATGGTTGAGATGTTTCTTTCTACCGGTCAAACGATGGACCTTTCATCACATCATCAGAAGCACAACAGAGTTTCGTCTCACACGCTTTAATGAGGGGTAATGTGTCATCGCAGGCGTTGCTTCCTACGCAACTTGAAGATCCCAGGAGAACCGACTTTCATCCTGACAGAAACCACCCAGGAGGTATCGTGCTCCCCTTCGTCCACGCTATTGTGTTACTATTGCATTCAATACGTTGCATAATGTGATCCACTTCTTAAACTTGTTCTCACGGTGGATTGAGATTAGGAGCTGAGCCGTCAGTCAGCACGGAGCCACAACGTTCCCCATCAGCCGTAGACGGGCCTCACAGAAGCAACTTCCTCCATTTGTTTGCTCGCAAGGTCAGTTTATCTACCACACCATATAGCATATTATATTTTCCCACAATAACTTCTGCACAATGTAAAATAGGAATGTACGTTGGTCCTTAGGTTTACAGCTTGATGGGCCAGCGTCTCAGGAAGCTGTGTTCCCTACTGTACATTTCGGATGAGCTGCGGGTGAAGATCTGGACCGTTTTCGAGCGATCTCTGATCCACTGGGCGGACCTCATGATGGACCGTCACCTGGACCAGTTTCTCATGTGTGCCATCTACATCACAGCTAAGGTGGGCTTGATTGACCAGAGAGGGATGTGTTCATTCGATAAATCTACTGCATACATACAATATATAGGCATGTCTTTGCCAAGGGGACATTGATACTGTTGGTCAATAAATGAACATTTCTACAGTAAGTGCTGCTTTTACACTTTAGATGTGTCCGTCTGTCCTCCATCATCCCGCTAACAAGCCTTCCACGAAACGCACGTACATAATCCATTATGAAGTTATGCCACTGCTTTACAGGTCACCAAAATGGAAATAACCTTCAAACGCATAATGAGGTGCTACAAGTCTCAGCCACTTGTCAACAGAAGGGTAAGTTTTGGATTTTTCAGACAGAGGGGTTACTTGGATCTGAAATCACTGTTATCTCAGGGAGTGTAACTCAACCAGTTACTAAATATCAAAAAAACTTTTCTGTTTTCAGGTCTGCAATAATGTGCTGATTTCAGGAAGAGACGGAGAAGTTCATCTCACTGGCACAAACGGTAGGAAACTATTTATCAAAAACGCATGTAAAACAAATGGAAATATTGAATGGAGAATAAATAGAGTTTGATCCTCCACTCGACACACAGGGATGAATGAGTGGGAAAGGTTGATATGGGTTTGCATGAAGAAGTGTACTGTATTACACGTTGATAACAGTACTTATATCAGTAATCTCAGAGTAGACAATATTCTGTAATACCACAATGAGAAGTGACCGTTCATACCATCGTTGATTTACAGATCAAGTTGACAACGGTGTCGGTATGCCGACACCCGACTCCCCATCAACACATCATCCAGGAGCTTTTCAAGAAGAGAGGGGAAATCTTATTGACTTTTACAACCAAATCTACTGGACAAGGATGGAGCACTTTGCCAAACAGTTCGCGCCAACATCTGGAGTAAGTGAACCATTTCAAGTCCATACATTTTAACAGACTAAATACGATTTCTGTCTCTCTTTGTCTCTTAAAAAGGGATTTTCTAACACATGCTGTGTAACTCTGCTGCAGGAGGACACGCCTCCTTTGTCCCCTTTCCCCCGACAGCGGCAGGCATCTCCTCGCCGGCGGCGTCTGTCCAACAACCCCCAGATCTACGTCTCACTGCTCAACACGGACACCACTTCCCCCATCACACCCGGCCTCAGCTACTTCATCAACTCAAGCCCCCCAGAGGTCTGTGGACATAATGTTAGAAAGCGGGGGTTTTTTATGATGAAATTACCACTTTTGAAAAAATCCATAGTGGTACATCGTGGATAGTATATATTGTCTGTACAGAACACAGATATTGAGTTCATCACGATTCAGTTCAAATACTCTTCCACAGTGTCTGCGTGAGATCAACAACATGTTGAGGACGGGCCGCTCACCCAGCACCAGCAGGCGGTGCTTCAGGGAGGAGGAGGAGGAGGAGGAAGATGAAGATGGTCCTTCGGTGAAGAGGCCCCGTTTGGATGGCCAGTCAGCCTGGCAGAGGCGACTAAGGAATGTGGTAAATGATCGCGTGACAACAAAAGACCGGGACCCGGACCGGGACTAGGACCCGGACCGGGACCAGCCATCTCCAGTCACAAGGCCCGTCTTGCACTAGAGCAGAGGCGAGCATGCAGGCGTTTGTCAATCCTCATCAGTGTGCATTGCCGGATGAATTCTGTGGCTCGATTCTGATGGTACGAAGGGATCGGTGCACGGCACTTTAAAGAAGATTGTCATTCTCCTGTTTTTATTCAATAAGCTTTTTTTAAACACATTTCAATGCTAGAAATAAGCTGTATTGAGATTGTTGAAAACATGCTGAAATGTTTTTTTAGTGCAGAGGCTTTCATCAGTACATGAATTGTGGAGACCGCTTTTAGAAAACTAATACCATGAATAATAATAATACTTTGATTAACCACATGATTGCAACATTAATATTATGGATGCATTAATAGCACAGCACATTTTCTAAAAACCTGCCCCCACTCAGAAAACAGTTTAACTTATTGCGATATCAATCAAAAATGTAGCCTTCGCTGTGGAGAATGATATTTGTAACCCAAATTAAACTGCAAGCGTTCAGGATTTTGTGACAGCTGAACTAGTTTGTCAGCCAATCGTATTTCACCTTACTATTTACCAGCACAAGTATGATGAGGAAACCTCCAATAGAACGCATTTAAGTATTAGACATCTGCCAAGCTGTCAAACAAATAAAGCTATAGAAGTTCAAATGACAATGTCTCATATTTGCTCCTCTTCATAACATTGTTCCTCTTCAAATGAATCCTCTTCTATGTTGTGAAGTGGAGCTTCTAATAATGACCCGAACACCACTTATATTGAACGGTAACAGTTTTTACGGTCTAAAATTGATACAGGTTCACATATTGCATCACATCAAGCCCAAAAAAAACTGTCAAAGCTACTTCCTGTTGTTCAACAAAATAAAGCACCAGTAGATCTGTGGATACAGATCTCCTCTCACATTAGCAGTGTGGTGATAAACTCAATTCATGAATTCCTCTGACTGAATGAATTCAGAATCTCCATTGCACATGCGTTGTTGGTAACCATGGTTCCCCTGCATATGACACGCGTCCCGCTCAGTGTTTATGTGTTACCATGTTATTTCTGGCCACGGAGTTCATTCTCAACCAACGTTGCTTAGGAGGTAACGACAAAAAGCAGACAACGGCTCAGCCAAAACAAACCAGCACACAGGTTCCCAAACGCAAAAGGAAGTCTTGAGGTTTCCATAGAGATAAAAAAAACACTCACACGGGTCTTAAGGTTATGACCCGTGTTTTAATGCCGTCTACACCTGCGGACTCCTCAGCCAAAGAGCTCTACTGCAGACTGTTGGGTCATTGCCAAATCAAGGGTTGCAACACAAACCGGGTCACCGCGGCGATTGACCCCGCTGAGGAGCCAGAGGAGAGGCTGGAGACGGACCCGGACACAAAGCAGGCGCCGACAGAGGAACCCAACGGAAGCACTGACAAATGAGAGGATGAAAATCATCATAGCAACGCAAGTTAAGCTCCACTCAAAGTAAGAAATATGCTAAATCCTCTGATAGCGTTCCTTTCCCCCACTGCTTACTTTTTGTAAAATCTCCCCTTTTCTTATCAGCTGACTATGACCTTTCATTGTTTTTCAATTCTATCAATGGGACGAGATAATAGCACCTCGCCATAAAGCCAGCGATTTACGATCATCGCATCGGGGTCACTTTGATGCAATCACCTCTATGACTTGACCGCCGTGTCTCTCTGAGGCGATTTGACATGACAAATGGCCAGTGTGGTGACTGAGATGGGCTGTGTGTGTCTGTGACGCTGTGTGTGCAGATTGGCCTGTCCGGGGGTGAAGGAGGGCTTGTCAGCTGCAGGAGGAGGCGACGATGCACTGTCCATCAATCCGTGTGTCGTCTGGGCCTCGCCCCCCCCACACACACACACACACAAAATACACAGCCTCCAGAAAAGATCCAGCACTAATCACCACATTGCAGGAACCTTATTAAAAAAATACTCATTGAAATACAGCGTTGTGTTGTTGAGTACCTGTGTTGCCTTTATGTTCCTTTCCAGCCTTTTGTTTAGATCTTTTTTTAAAGCCCCCCTGTGGCGTACTTGCATTGCCTTTGTTTGGTTTTCACAGTCCCTATATGTTCATTCTCCTCCTCCTCCTCATCCTCCAATGCAGCGTTCACACACCTCTGGTCAGGGATGATGGTTGCAACGCTCTCTTTCAAACGCTTCCAACTCTGCTGCAGGCCGAAGCAGGAGCCCTTAAAGATAGTCAGCTTAGGTTTCAGCCGTCGGTACCTCGCAGCTCTCAGACTAGATAGTACCGTACGCTGTGCATATCAGAGGCACCGAGTACTTTACACAGCAAAATAATGAAACGATGCCAGGAGTTCCGGCCCTCTGCAGTCCACCAGGGGGCGTGCGCGAATGGCAAAGCAGTTCCCTCGGCCGCCACCAGGGAGCAGAAGTGATCTTCCCAGATCGCCAGGAGACGAGGACATTTAATCTGAAATATAGGTTGTAAGTTTATTACCAGCTAGTGAATAGAGCTGGAATGGAATAACCATTTCACAAAGCCATATCAAAAAAATACCAATCTCGGAGGCAGCGGGAAATTACATGAAAATATTACCATTACACAAATGGAAAGTATGATTGAATAATGTGCTGCAGAAGATAAATGAAAAGCACTTTGTTAAAAAAAATGTGGTACTAAATAGGTTTTTAATTCCAGTGGAGGGATAAAAGCAGCACATTTTTACCCCATTTCATTGCCAATTGATTAGTGGTTCCACATCTGCAAATATAGAGGGGGCCTTATCGTCTCATTATCAGTTAATTAATATGCATGCACACATACCAATTATCTTTCCTCTGCCATTTAGCAGAAATGAGACATTGATGTTTTTATGGTGGCGGAATGGATAACTCCTGTGTCGCTTTAAAGACAAGGCGGCCACGTTGATTGACATAGCTGGGAAGTGTTAGGAGGGACAATTGAATTAAGAGCAACCTGAAACACTTGATTATTATATTAATACTTCTCAGCAGCCTTGCAAATTTCTGTCTGCTACCAGGTGCTGTTAAACCACGAGTAGTTTTGTTGGACCCTCTACAAAAAGGTATTAAAAAAAATGCACTTATTGTTTGGCGATGGTGTGCAGTTCTATCTATCGATCTATCTTTACATGTGTGTATGCATAATCCATTGTAGAAACATTTTATTTGAAGGACATGCAGAATTGCAAGCTGTTTTTCCACTGTGCCGTGACTATTAAAAAGAACCCAAGGCCACACCAAGCGAAGCAAACCTAAGAGGAAAGTTATATTAATCATTATTCGGTTTACTGTGTGCACTGAATTTATGAGTCACAGGCCAGTGTTTTGTGCCAGTGAAATAAACAATATTACAGGAGGAAGCACTACTGACATTTTTCATGTCTGCGTAAATGCTCATGGCTGCACATTACGCCGAAGGCTGTTTTTCTTTTATCAGTGCTTTGAGTTCAAATATTGTTGTTGAGGTTGATTATTGTTAATAAGAAAAGGAAAGGCTCTTCTGGCTTTAACCAAACGTAGAATCCATGATGTTTGCAAACATAAAGCGTCACAGATGACAAACTGGTGCCACTGAAGGCAGCTGCTCACAGGACTGTGCCCCAAAAAAAAGGAGAGCAAACAGAAAATGAGCAGGGTAACTAAAAAAAACTCTAGGGTGTAATCTCCTTACTTAGTAATGGACCCTTTATATGATATCTATAATGGGCTGCCACAAATATTCACAAGTACTGGTCTTATTTCCTGCCAGCCTTCTTTAAAGATGTGTTCTTCACAGGGTATCTTTTGTGAATTTATGATCAGAGGCGCGACAGCGCCAGTCTTTAATCTTACACTGGCCTTGAAGAATGTCACTGATTCCACCCACCCTCCTCCTCCGCCACCACCCCCACAACTGCAGGCTACAGACCCCATGCTATTCTCGCCGCGGTGCAGCAGCACATCTCTGGTTGTAAAGAGGGGGTATGGGTTTCTTTATTTTGAGTTAAAAAAACAACAACAACAACAATGGAACATTAGCACGTCATGAAACGTCCCAACCGTCTGAGGCTGCAGAGGCACCGAGGCCTCTGAAGGGCCTCTGAAGGGCCTCTGAAGGGCCGCTTCATGAGCGGTTGATTGAACACAAAACAAATAGCAAAGGCTCCCTCAGCGAGCTACCAACTTTGAAATGTGTTCTGGTGACCTCTCTGAGAGAGTCTGGTGTTCGATATCTGGGCAATTTGTACGTAAACGTCGCTGTTCAGAGATGATCTGCAGGCTGAGTGATGTTGTTGCAGTAGCCAAATAATATGATTTTGGTTTCCTCGATGTCTGGAATGGAATCATTTTGCATGACATACATTTGTTGACCTTTGGATTCTCTGCAAGATTAATTATGCTCTTCAGCCACGAAACAGAAAAAAAGAAACTATGTAAGGCTTTTAGAGCCTTAACGGATACGCAGACGATCATATTCACCAAGAAACGATGCAAGACGTTTATTCAATAAGGAAATACTGTCGTTTCAAGCTCTCAGGTCACCCCAATTTACCTGTACATTATTTGTAGTTTGGTTATAACTGGATGGGAAAACACATTTGAATACAATGCAGTCTGGTAAAACATATAACTCAAACGTGTACTTTAATCCACATCCTAAGGCATTCCCTTAGGATGGCAATTATCGATCATACACACAACCAAGGGTTGACTTGTGTGGGTGGGAATCACCTATAAGCTCTGTTTAAGCGATACACACTCTGAAAAGAGCAACTCCATCAAGTGTCTTAATATATACTTGTGTTTTTGTTTTGATCCACTGGTAAACTATTCTGTGAATAATTCATAATACATTCAATTCCATCGGTTTGTTATGTTGTCCTTTAGACTCTCTTTTTAGTGGACAATAAACAATAGCAACTCCACAAGGTTTTGTGAGTACTCGTCTGATCCGATGGGCTGGATGTAATGTAGCACACATCCAAATAGGGAATCTTCTTGAACTACGGGGTAAAATGTTCCTGGAGCCAAACTGCCCACAATCCATCTACCCATTGCTTCCGAATTGATTCACTCAAAGTCACCGGCACATGAATAGCGGGACTAAAATATATTACCATTAAGTTTTTTGTCAAATGTCACAGCAATAAAAATCCTGTAGGAGATTGCAAATAGACTATGAATAAGTGGGAAACTCTATAAAGTCCAGAAGGCAAATAAGATTTAGCAGAAGACAAAGGTCAGGGCGCAGGAGGAGAGATACAGGGAGGCATGTGGACAAGGATGACTTGATTATCCTGGAAGGGAGCACAAAGAGACATGTCCTTTTGCAACAGGGTTAGAAGAAACGGCATCCTCTAAGAGGCAAAAGGGCCTGTTGGAAATGGTCGAGAGGTAAAAAGTAATAAATGATGCGAGGATCTGATGCCGTGTTTAAACCACACTCATATGGAAACGTACTCATCTAAATGATCGACGTACCGCTGAGGAGTCAATCCAGTGTGCCATGTTGCTTCATGTGACTTGTACCAAATAGAAAGGAGAGTAAGCATCTAAGTCATTGCTGTGTGTAGAACTCATTGCAATAAAACACAAGAGCTCAGTGACTGCTGAAAGCCTTCAGCTGGAGTGTGTGTGTGTGTTAATGTGCGTGGGTGTGTGCT